CCCCCTTAGGTTTCTGAGGATGTAAATCTTTAGGGGAGTAAAAGCCTCATCTTTCTTCTGTCAAGAGGCTGGTTCGTAGGTTAAAACTGACCAAACAGCTTTACTGCTCTTTAACCCATAACCCACAACACCTCTAGGGCTCCTTTGCAAAAGTTCTTTTAGGGTGTTTACAGGAAATTAAAACTGGTGAAGATAACTCATTTATTCTAATTTGGAAGCAGAAAACCATCTCTGATCAGAAAAATGGTTAAAACCCTTCAAATTAAAATCTAAAGGGCAAAACAAACAAACAAACAAACAAACAAACTAAAGGGCATCCCAAATAACTACTCTTAGAATCATTAAGGTAGCAAAAGGCCTCTCAGGATCATCAGCTGGGGCCAAGAAGGACTAGCTCTACTGGAAGATAGGAAAAGTAATGCTATGCATATCATGTATGTTAATACAGTACACTTCATGTATGCATACAAAGAAAACCAGAGAGTTGTCTTCTCTATTCCCTCAACGTCAGAAGAATGAAAAGAATCTGAGAATTTCAATCATAGTAGGATCTTCCACTTTTCTGAAAGTAGATACACACTTACATACATATTCTTTACATGAATCTTCCCACAAAATGATAAAGAATACTTAATATATCTTTTAAATCCTTAGCAATCTATCTTTTAAAAGTATGCTGCTGCCCATTGTGTGTGAAATGCTAACTCCTCTCCAAAGGAGAATATGTATTTAAAATATAAGAATATACACTCAAAACAAAACCCTCTCAAAAGCTACTGCCTCCTACTAATATTCATTATTTTAATGCCTTATGAAATCAGGTAGAATAAAGAAACCACACATGAGCCAGAATTGGGAGTGATTGTAATGTAAAATGAAACTTCTGAAACTTTCTATTGAGTTACTACTAGTTATGAATAAACAACATTATTAGAATATGCACTATCCTGAGAATGGAGTCCAATAACAAAAATTCTTAAGTCAGGATAGAATAGAAATTAATAAAATGAAAAGAAACCCTACCTACCCAATTTTAAGACCTCTGGAAAGAAAAAAATTACCTAATTTTTCAACTACTCATGTCAGACTATTTTTATAAATCTTAATTCCTCATGCCTTAGAAATATATTTCTTAGTCCTGCTTCACTAAAGAACAAGAATGTAAGTGTATGAGTGATCATCATTTCAAGTTAAAAGTTTTATATTAGTTTTCTTTTCTCCAAGGTTATGGGTTCAGATTAGTATTTGCTACTAAGAAAATATATAAAATAGGTTTGGAAAAATTATATTTCTTGCATGTTCAACAAAGAATGTTTGGTAAGAACTGTACTACTACACAGTTTGAATAGAGGTCAACCCCTACTTAACACTATTATACCAAAAACGCTGTCTAACAATATCATGGCCTTTTCCCTTTAGTGCAAGACAGTAAAATATAGTTCTATAAAGTGTTGAAGAGTCGCTGAGTGGCACAAATGGTTAAATGCTCAACTATTAGCCAATAGGATGAGGTCCCCGCCGTGTAAAACGCATCTACTCTTGTAGAGTCTTTATGAGCTGGAACTGACAGCAACTAAAAACAAATAGCATAAAATACTAAGAACATGTGGCAGATACAAAGCGGGTCTAACATAAGAGAAAAATACTGTACTGTTAAAGACCTAATTGATAATAGGCACCAGAAGTGCTGGTTTACTCTTATCAACCAGTATTTCTGGGTTCTCCATTTATCTGAGGATGGGTGCATATGTGGTGGTTATGTGTATGGTAACTGAAAACGAAAACAAAACCATGAAGCTTTTAAACTCCCCCAATTTTAGTTATCAAGTCTCTTAGTAAGATGAGATTTGAATTGTAGGTATAATATGATTACCTCTGACAAGAAGCCTTTGTTGCTAATAAAGAATGATTATGGAATTTACATTTTGACTATTCAAAAAAACTTCACATACTAAAAACTTGTAAAAAGTGAGTTTGAGTACATAAAACATAAGAAACAAGCCTTCTACTAGCAAAATTCTAAATGAAACTGGAATGCTCACAAAGATCCTCACTTTCTTTTCTATAGAGAGGCTCAATACTTCTATAAAGTTAAAAAAAAATTTACAGAACACATGAGCCACAAATGAACCACACTTTCAGAAAAATAAGGCAGAAGAAAACAAAATAACAAAAGTCAGCAGTTACATGAAATTTCTAAAAACCGTATACAGAAAAGCTAAGCCATATACTATATATCAGAAGTGGATGTCTGCAACCATTGGTTCTTGATACTACACGAATTATAGATCAAGCATCAGCAAGGTTTTTCAATGTTGTTGTTAGGTGCAATTGTCTATTTTGTACTCATAATGACTCCAAGAGCTTTCTAAATTATAGTATTTAGGTGAATAGATCACCAAGTCATTCTCCCAAAACGTGATCAAGTGAATCAAACCATCAGCCTTCTGGTTAGCAGCCAAGCATTCTAACACAGAGAAACATAAATGGGTTTTCTACACAACTTTCAGATTTCGTTTGGAAAAGTCTTCCTACATAAAATTTATTTATTTATTCATGTGAAAGGTAGGAGCAGCTTGTATATGGGGAGACATCAACATTTTTTTATTCACCTAAAATTTAAAACCTGAGAATGAAAATACTAAGATTAATGGAAGAAGTTCTCATTTCCATTTTTCTATCATTAGTTATTTGCTAACATTGGATGTGGAAAGAGGAGCCTTGCTGGTGTAGTGGGTTATGTGATAGGCTAGGGCTATTAGCCACAAGAACAGCAGCAGTTCAAAACCACTATCTGCTCCCTGGAATAAAGATGACGCTTTCAGCTCCCATACAGATTTACAGCCTGGGAAACCCCAAGGGGAAGTTCTATACTGTCTTACAGGGTCGTTATGAGTTGGAATTGACTTCATGCTTGTGAATTTGATATGTGGAAAACAATAAAGGCTTTAAGATCAACTGATATTAAAATGTCATAAATTTACAAATAACTACGTAAGATTCGGATATTACAGTAACCAGTGTATAGCAAAAATAGTTTTGTTCATTCCATTCTTTCATCCACACATTCCCCAAGGCCTACCTAGCCTTACTTTAATCCTCAAGTTGAAAGATAAAAATCCCATGTGGCTTCAATTAAAATTAGCCCTTTCTGGAAATTTGCATTCTACATTGACAAATGTAAGCTCAACTATTATATGTAAACTTGGGTTAGCCAAGTAATTAAGAATTCAAAATCAAGACTCCTTGCCACATTTATATTGTTCTAGTAACTGTGTACATTAATAATTAAAAGAGGGTCCTGTGGGCAAGTCACGGGCAACGGTCCTTTTGAATAATGCTCAAATGTTTCCTAACTAAAGTTGCAAAAACAAGTACGTAGTTATTAATCTGTGAGAAGTAGATTGTGTACCTCAAACTTTGCTACATAAATTTGAGATTCTATTCTCCTTTGTAGCTCTCAGGATGTGGCACAATTCATAAATGCATACAAAGCATATGGAATTTTCTTTAAATTCAGTTTTACCACTATGAATAGGAGTGACACCATTCTTTTAAGATATCTTTTTTTTAAATTTCATGCATTTGTACTGTCCTATAAGGCACAGAATAGTTTGGAAGAATGCAGACCTAACGGTCTGAAATGTGTCTCACTAAAACTAATGTTACTTGGAAAGTAAAGGAGACTTTGGAGATGGTCTGGAATGCAAGACCAGTGGTAATTTATTTTTCTATGTACAACTGAAGTTTGTTACAATCAAATCCAATTCATATCCTACAGAACAAGAGGGTAGGACCTCAGTAGAAGGACCAGCAACGTTAAGATCGTCATGGCACGTGGTTCTGACCTAGCTAGTCCTGCCACGAAATTAAATAAGTAAATATTATAATGCGATCCAGAATATCAGATTCATGACTCATAATCACTTTCAATACTCAGAACAATTATTAAAACTAGATCTTTGTCTATCATTTCATTGTGAATTATATTCTAATTATTAAAGATTCTACATATTCTTTTGCTTCTTGTATCATTTTTATTATATAGAAGCCTTATATGTAATAAGAATGATCTGGATTCTGGATCAGGAGACAAAAAAACAAACAAAAAATAAAACGCAGCTATGAAAGACATTTTGGGGACTATGTACTAGGAATGTTTGTAGAGGTCCTGGAATGGCAATGATTAAGTGCTTGGCTGCTTCCTGAAGACTCGTGGCCTGAAAGGACACAGTGGTTCCGGGGCAGGGGGAACCTGGCAATTTGCTCTCAGAAAGATTACAGCCAAAAAAGCATTCTGAGGCAATTCTACTTCGTCACTATGAGTTGATAATAAACCCAATAACACCCAACAACATGAGTATTCAAACAATATTACTATTGATATGATTTTTTTATGTACGTAATATTAAATATTTTTAGGGTAATGAAGTATTGCGTTGACATTAGAAAAGTTCTTCGGAGAGATATTCTGACAGTCAAAACTGAAATGTCATGATATTAGTAATTAAAGCAAATATAATAAAAAGCTAACGATTGCTGAATCTAGGTAAAAAAGACATGGCTGCAAATTGCATTATTCTTTTAATTCTTATCAAAGTACTAAAAATTAAAAAAAATTAATTGGAAAACTATTGATTTTTGAAATCTGAACCAAAAAGTAATAGTAAATGAAATTATGAGAACCTGGGTTATTAGATCTGAAATCGTAAAACTTTTCAAGTAAAAATATCATAAATATGGCCCTTTGTACTGAAAGCCAAACATCAAAGGAATGTTTCATTAATAAAACCATAGACTAGAGTAGTTCTGACAAAGTACGAGCACAGAAAATATATTATCTAAGGATCAGGAGGGCTGATTTTTCTCAAATTAACTGAGGAACTTACCTATCCATGTCATCATCTCCAGGTAACAAGGGCGGGAGAGGCAGAGGAGGCAGTGTTGAAGTTTTCAGATGTGGAATAGCAGCTATTGCAGACACTTGAGTCTTCACAGAAACCTGTACAGGGGGCTGAGAATTTGTCTGAGAGGACAGAGTAGATGTCCTTGGGTGAGCAGAAGAGGGCAAAGCAGAAGAACTAGAAGCAAGAGCCTGACTAATTCCTGTTTGGGGAGGAGGCAGAGGTGGTTGTTGTGGAACAGTTGGTAGTGGAGGCAAAGGCGGCAAAGGAGGTGTCTGAGGTGGAGGGGTAGTAGTTGGTAAAGGAGGTGGTGGAGAAGTAACTGTCGGGAGAGGTGGAAGGGTCTCCTTTTCTGATGTTTCTGTCTCCTTTGGAGTAACACTCTCCTCTTTTGATGCTATGGGTTTAGAGTCCTTTGTTCCCTGTGCTTTCAAATTTTTAACAGCAGGATGTTTTGCAGAGTTCTCATCCAACTTTATGTTCCCTGTATCTAAAGAATTTTTATTTTCTGTGTTTAGATGTGTTACATTCACCAGTTCAGTATCTGTAGCTGATTTTTCCAATTTAGCAACCCTGGGTAACTTTTTAGACCCCAAGCCTGCATCCTTAGCCTCTATGGAACTGTTTTCTTTTTTGGATAAAAATATAGGTGATCCCTTGGATTCCTTTCCATCCACTTTTGCTGCTGCAGCAGCTGCGGCTCTTTCTTTCTTTTTCCTACTGAGTTCAGCTCCCAGGCTGGAGTTCAATGGAAGCCTGACAGGTGAGATACTGGAATGCCGGCTGCGTGACCCGGATCTTTTCTTTTTACTATGAGAAGATGAATGTCTTGAATATGCAGGACTTCTACTTCTGGACTTCATGGATTTCCTGCAGAAAAAGGAAATGGCAGTTTTAAAAGGATAGACTTAGCAATAGATGGAGGAAAATAGATTAGTAAAATAAGCTGGGGAGAAATACAGTAAGTATCACCAGAACAAAAGGAAAGTCTGATAAACTGCCATAGCCAAGAGTCAGGATGACTAAATATAACATGATACCCTGGACAGGCAGGAGTTCCAGTGGTAAAGTGGTTAAGTGCTTGGCTGCTGACTGAAACCCACTAGCTGTGCTGCAGGAGGAAAATGTGGCAATCTGCTTTCACAAAGAACATAGACTTGAAAAACTAAAAAATAAATAAATAATTTAAAAAGAATATGGACTTGAAAACCCTAAGGGATAGTTTTATCTGTCCTATAGGCTCACTCTGAATCATTGCATACAACCATCTTGGATAGGATCTGGAAATGGAAAAAGAGTATTACGTTGGTAAAACCTAAGAAAATATGAATAAAGTTATCAATACTGGTTCCTTAATTACAATCAGCATACACTTCATATAAGATCCTAATAACAGAGGAACAATCTGGGCATGACACTAAAAATATTATCCACTATTGTATTCAATTGAAGAAAATTGTGTGTGTGTGTGTGTGTATATATATATATATTTTTTTTTTTTTTTTTGCACCTTGGAAAAGAAATAGGCATATTCACAGTGGTTTCTTTCAAAATTTAGTTTTAGTCTTCAATAAAGTGAAAAATATGACAAAGAATCAGAGCTAGAACATGTTAATCAGGAACTTAAAAGTAACCCATATGCTTCAAGAAAACCTAAATTTTAAAACTACAGTTACTAAAACAAAACAAAACAAAAACAAAACTACAGTTACTTACTTGGCAGATCCCAGGAAAATCTTCTGTTCCTTATATCGCTGATTTATAATAAAGTTATGCCTACACTGGTATTTTTTATATAAAATAATTCCCAATCAATTTTTTAGGAACTTCTACAGTAAGGTGCATTATTGTACTTTCAATTTATGTACTTCCTTTGAAAGAATTGGGAAATAAAGTCTGAGAATTTACAAAGTAGATTATTTTAAACTGAAATCCAAATTTCATTAATTCTTTTTTGCTTTTTATAGCGAAGTTTAACCTGCTCAGGCCTTAATGTGTGTGTGTGTGTGTGTATGGGGGGGGGATGCCACGAACCACAACAGTAATGCAACTAGACAAAACAGAGTTTACCCAGGAGTCTAAAGCAAATTGTTCCCAGTCCAGATTATCACCACTGCCCTAGGTCACTGGTAAATTTCAAACAGCGCATATGTGTTGGAGAAGCCATACACATGACAGAAGTCATGGTTTTCTTTGACTTATACTGCTTTTGGAAGTTTGCTCCAAAGATATAGTATTCCAAATAAAAAGCCATTGTTGGAACCAACAGTACTCAAATTAGAAAACATTTGAGCATAAAGATAGAAAATACTAAAAAGTTATGTGAATTAATGAAATAAAAGTACTCTTAAGAAAATTACTATTTCTCTTATACAATTTAGATGAAACAAAAAAGTTTTGCTGCTTGAATTATAGGTAAAACTTCCAGAACCCCAAACACTAGAAATTCTACAGATTATGCACCATAAACCATATTTCTTTAGTCTTATAGCATGGCCAAATCTTCCTAGAACCCTCTACTATAAACCTTTCAACTTGAACAATAGAAGCCTACTGGTTTTATAGGACATTTAGATGGCCACACAATTATGACACTTTTAATGATACAAATGCTATATTTGAAATCCAGATGTGCCTCCAGAATGAGGAGAAAAAGTGGTGGTGGTGGGTGTTTAATATAGGTAATAGTAGATAACAACTCATAAATTTAAATATGATATATATATATATATATATATAAAAAGAAAATGTGCCAGTAGACAACTAAAATGTAACCTGTAACTCTAAAAACACTATGGTATTGTACTGTACTTCCAACTTCTTGTGGATTTATTTTTATCATTTTTGCACTCGTGCCAATTAAGAGGAAGGCAGAACTTAAGATGGACCATTTGCTCCAAGAAACCTAAAGGAATCATTGCAAAGAAGTAATTGTTATTCAAACTTTTTTTCACATTTCAGCCTCATTGTACTTCCCAGAGCACAAGAGCCTTAATAAGGCTACTCATTCAAGAACACCTATGTCCAGAAAATGCTTCCTTGAAAAAAAAAAAAAAGACAAGTCAAAACTAAGTAATTTTAGAAATAGTACATCTCAGACATGCATTTAATGTATATAACTTTTAGTCTTCATCCCTTCAAAAACAATGTAAGCGGAGCAAATAGTATGCACGCTAGCATGTTTGACTGAAGTATATTGATGCCTGCAACTTACTTTGAGAGGAAAAATAAAATAATGGACTGATGGCTAAATGGAGATGGATAAACATGTGATACAATCTAAATGATATATATGCAATTTTTTCAACTACTTTGTAGTTGAAAGTATATAATTAGGGGAAAAAACGACTAAGAAACTTTAGATGCTAACACCTAGGAACCACGGAGTTTGAATTCAAACTAGCTCGTGAGTAATTAATGTCAGCAAAAATCACACACACTGACATATGAAAGGCTTGCACGGAGTTTTTTAAATTAATATAAATTCTCAACTAGTTTTCAACATTATCCTGATTCATAGGCAGAAGTTGCCGGGCGGTGCTCTGTTATCTGTATGTGTATATATAAATATATACTCTAATTTCTTCATAATTGAATTGTGAAAGACAAGGAAACTAAGAACAGGTTTATCATTTCAAACACGAAGAAATTCAGGTATGGAGAAATTAAATAATTTGCCAAAGATCACAAAAACAGAGATACAAGTCCATTCAGATTCCCCAAAGTCCACTTAAGAACCCCAAAGTCCACATTCTGCTTTTGTAGATAGAGCGAGTACATAGACCTTACATGGGGGAACTGAGTTTCCCAGAGATAATTCATTCCAACAATCAAATTTCAAATTAACATGTCTTTCTCACAAGAATATCACCATGAAGGCATTATCACCATTTTTAAAGGAAAAGATTTGGGAAATTGCTTGTGGTCACAAGGTACGGTATTGGTGATGTAAAGAAAACGAAATTAAAAAAAAAAAAAAGAAAACGAAATAAGGAAAAATAAGGATCTTGAAATTATGCTGAGTGAAAAGGTCTGCCTAAAGGGTCAAATACTCTCACAGTAGGCAACTGTCTAAAGAACAAAGTTCACCGGTGGTTACCAGGGGTGAGAGGGAAGAAAAAAAAGGAGAGTCAAGGCTTTGGGGGTACTAAGTTTTGGTTAACTGTGACAGTTGCTCAACATTAAGGTAATGAGTATCAAAGAAATGTACATGCAAAAAAATGTCAAAGTAGCAAATTGCATACAGGGGGCTTCAAAAAGTTATTGGAAAAATGGGAGTAGAAAATTTCCCCACAAACCTCTTGGAGTGCGTGCTTGTGTGTGTATAAACCAAAAGCCAAGCCCACTGCCATACAGTTCTGATTCAGAGAGGCCCTGTATAGGGTTTCTGAGACTAAATACTTACTGGATTAGTCAGCCTCATCTTTATCCTGCATAGTGGCTGGTGGGCTTGAACTGTCCACCTTGGGGTTTAGTAGCCCACTCACTACCTAATCTACAGCACCACCAAGAAAGCACATGTGCATTTATAAATGTATACATGGATAGTTGCAATTAAAGAAGAAAACCAAATGGTCATTAGAACCAAATTGTGCCAGGATATGCCACCAAAAAGTAAAAGGAACCAGTTGGTGGAATTTCCACAAGAAAAACCAGTTCAAAATACGTGCGTCTTAACTAGTTATTAAAACTCCATCAATTGGGAAATGGAAACACTTTACAGGTTTAGAAGCAGCACATATGGTGGGATGGCCTAGTGAAATAGCATCAAGATAATACAAATGAGAATTTGTAATTGCTTAATTCCCCAATCCGAGTCAATAAAACCTAAAGCATTCATGCCCAGGTGATTACCGAAATGTAAGACAAAGCAAAATAAACAGCTAGGCCCACTCTGGGTCCCAGGCCCAGCTCTTTGCTCTGGCTGAGCAGGGGGTCTCCGGGAGAAGCACCTACCTTCAGCAGGTCCAGCCAGCCAGGCGCCTCGGCGGTGTCGCTGATGCTAGATTTAGAGGTGGTTAACCCCCTTCCACTCCCCACCCTGAAGTCCGTGAGGGCTGGAACACACCTGGGGCCTTCGTGGATATGCCAACCCAGGGAATGAGCGCCCAGCTCCTCTTCCGCAGCCCACCCCAAACGAGAAGGGGCTGCCAGAGGACCGACTTACCTGGGAAGTGGGCTGCGACTCAGGGACCGCTTGCTCATGAACGGGCTGCTGGACCGCCGCCGACCGTAGGGACTGGGTGACCTACCACTGTAGGAGCCACTCCTCTCGTAGCTGGATGATCTCCGCCGGCTATAGGGGCTCACAGAGCGCTGGCGCCGACTGTAGGGGCTGGGCGAGCGGGCGCTGGACTGGTAGGCCGAAGGCTCCTTGTACGGCGGGCTAGCGGACTGCCTCCGGGAGGTGCTTCCCGGACTCTTCTTGTAGGAATCATAATTACTGGAGGTGTGAGACCTCGGCGGGCTAAGGTCATAATCTTGGCCGTAAGATGCTCCCGAGGGGCTATCGTCTTGCTTGGGGCTGTCGGACCACTTCCGGTGGGGACTCCGGGATCGCCGTTTGGGGCTGTCCGCGGTTTTGTAACTTTTGGGTGTTTCCCGTTTCCGATGGCTTTTACTCCGATCTTTGTGCCCCGACTTCACCTCTCGCTCTTTCCGCGGTCTCTCTTTATGGAGCTTGGAAGACCGGGATTCCTTGAGGCCGCCGCTGCTCTTCGACAGCTGGGACTTCCCACAGTCCTCGTTCTCCTCGTTGGGACGCTTCGCACTCGCTGAGCCCCGGTCCTTCGTCGACCCCGACTTGCTGGAGACTTCCTGGTTTTTCATTTTTTCCGTCGGTTTGGTTTTGACTAAGTCCCGGGAGCGGCGGTGCTGGTGGTGCCGGTGTTTGTGCAGGCGATCGCTCCGCTCCGCTCCGCGGCGCTCGTCAGTCTCTCTCCGATCGAGTTTAAAGGCCATGTCGTCGGAGAAGGTGTCCGAATCCGAGCTGATGTCGTCGTATTCCACTAAAGGTTTGATAATTGTACCCAAAGGTGCGACTTCAGTGGTCACCAGCCCCATGTCTTTGGAGTGCTTGGATTTGTGCCGTTTGTGCTTCGACACCAAGCGGTGACGCTCTCTGCTGTTGGAGCTGCCACCTCCCGATGACGGCTGCAAAGTTCCAGAAGCGCCTCCACCACCGTCCTTCTTGCCCCCATGTCTTTCTGAATTGGGCATTCCCTTTCCCCTGGCTTCAAGAAGGGGAAAAAGTTCCCCAGCACGCCACAAAGTAGGCCCCACCCTCCCCCTCCAGCCCCGAGCCCACACCCACCAAAGTGCCCCTGGAGGGGGGTGGGGAGGGAAGTGCCCCTGGAGGGAGTGTGGGCTGTATGTAGCCCAGGCTCCTCCTCCCTCCCAACTCCTTAGCACCCTCCTACATGAGGTGGGGGGTGACGGTGCCAAGGGAGAAATAAGAGTTCTTCAGCAGTGGAGTTGCGAGACCCGGGCCGCTGTTCACGTCTGTTTTCCTTCTCCCTCAGGCACCGGCGCCGGGGAGGGCGAGGAAGTAGTAAGACGACGGCCTGGGGTGGAGGGGCCGACTCCGATCCTGGGGCCCTGTGAGGACAGCGCGGGCCCTTCCCCGACCCGGTAGCCCGGCTCGGGGCGGCTTCTTTTGCTGAGATCCCGCGGCCTAGGTGCCCCACGCCCCCTTTGTCTGTCGTTCCTAAGGGAGCCCCTTTCCTTGCCACCGCCTCACCTCAATACCTCACTCACTCGCTCCCTCAGACTCAGTCACACACTAGGTTAAACCGAAACGGCACTTAGGAGAGGGGGAGGGGGGCAATCCCACAAGTCATCGCGACAATCCGGTTAGTTCTCGCGATACTTCCTGCTTCCCTTTCACCTCTCGCCTGTTTGTGAAACAACGCGAGAAGGAGGCCCGTGCCAGAAACGCGTTTGCCAAACTCCCGCGATAAATCCGTTCTCTTCCCCTCCTCCTGCCCTATAGTCCACCGCGCTCCCTCCCCCGGTTTGGGCAAAACTTTATTAAAACGGAACTAGCAGGATTTTGTTTTCATCAAAACTTTGTCGAAAACTCATTGAACAAATACACCAAGGCTCCAACGCAAACCAATTTTAGAGCATACTTTGTAACAAACTCACTTAACTACCAAGATAAGATTGTTAACAGGGCAAAAGGTTCAAAAGAGTGGCGACGATTCAACCCGTCTCTTATAATGATGCTTCCCATTTACATGTTGGATACTACATGCTACGCATTAAACATACATTATCGCGAATTTTCAAAGCTCTCCTGGCCACAAAATACTACTCACCCCTATTTTACAGATAATGCAAGCCTCACAGAGGCTAAATAACTTAACAAAACAAGTGCCACTTGTCTGACTCGAAAACACAAGTGCTTTCATTACTTCGCTCCACCTTTTGCTTTAAATCTAAGAATCTGACATTCATTCCCTCTCGGGATCGTTCCATAGCTCTCCTGGGATCTAACCTCATCTCACAGATTATAATTATATGAAAAGCATAGCATGCACGAACAAGAAAAAAAAAACCTACATTGGCCTGATTTTACTTTTTAAATTTTATTCACACACAATGCCATTTTCACAGTAACCATCTGAAACAAGGTTTAATAAATAAGGAAACTAAGGCACAGAGAAGTTATTTATCTGATCGTCATTCTTTTATTCAACAGGTATTTGTGATAATTAAAGGCCCTCCTCTGGATATATGGAGTCCTTGTGGCACTGTCTATTGGGCCCCTGGCTCGAAGAAAATTACTCGATAGCACTGGGTTTAGATTTTGGAGGGGTCGGGTGGGGTGGTGGTAGACTGTTTTGAAGCAGGCAGGTTAACTGCAAGGTCAGCAGTTAAACACCACCATAACTAGGTGAATGGTGTGGCCATCAGCTCCTCTAGATTTGCCCCAAGGCAGTTCTATTCTATCCTACAATGTGGCTTTGAGGAGGAATCCACTTGATAGCAGCGGTTTGGGTTTGGGATTTATGGATATGGTGGTCACTGTAAGTTCCTCATTAGTCTGCTAAACACAGTCAGTGGTACAAACCCACCAGCCACTCTGCTGCAGAAAGATGAGGCTGTTTGCTCTGGTAAAGATTTATTCTTGGGAAGTCCATGGAGCAGTCCTACTTTGCATGACAGGCTCCCTGTGAGTTGACAGGAACTCAGTGGTAAAGGGTCTTGTTTTGTCTTATGGGTCTGAAAGCCTGGTGGCTCCGTGCTCAGCTAACAGAAAGGAAAGATCGTCGGTTCAGGGAGGGAGAAAGATAGGGTCGTCTGCTTTGGCAAAGATCTGTAACCCTGAAAACCCCATGGGGGCAGTTTTACTCTGCCCTATGTGGTTGCTCAGAGTCCACACAAGGGCAAAGAATTTTGAGGAGACAGTGCACACCCAGGGCCCTAAAACAGAATATGGACAACATGAGTGAGTGTATTCATACTGTAAGCACTGCAGAGGTGCAAAGGGTGTTGACCGTAGTAAGAGAAAGCTTGATAAAAGCTTTAAATGGATCCAGGAAGAGTATATAGAATTTATATATGCAATTCTTTCTAAGAATTATCTATATGATATCCACTTGAATACTGCAACTTGAGGTTAGAGAGAAAACGTACAGGGCATTGAGTTTATCTTCATGCTGGAAGACTAACTCACCTCATAAAAAGGGTAAAGAAAGACTGCAAAACATCAAGAACATAATCAATGTTGCTAAATTATACCTGTAGAAATTGAACTCGTGTCTCCTTGATAGGTGTACTTCCACCAACAAAAATATATAGGAAGACAAGCTATTAAATTAGAGACCAGAAAACATTGTGCCTGAAGGCAAGCAAATCCATTCTCAAAATTACTCCCTGGAAATGTTCAACAAGAACATTTGGTAAAAGTTATTTACCTATTTGCATCGATAGATCTTGGCTATAAATTTATTTCTTAGAAAGTTGTTCAAAGTACGCACAGCAAGACATACACCGACTCCACAATTTCTACACTAGAAGTCATTGACGATGATTACCTCATTCAAGTTGTATAACCATTTCTGAATTGTTTTGCTCCCTTTGCTCTCCCTTGCCCCCTAAGTTTCCCATCCGATCTTTGAGTTGCTGTTAAAAACGACCAACGTTTTTCATGGCAACTTTTTAAACTTCTAAGGAAGTAAAAGAACCCTGATGGCACTGTGGGTTTAGTATTTGAGCTGCTAACTGCCACGTTAGTGGCAATTCAAACCCATCAGACATTCTGCAAGAGAAAGATGAGGCTGCAAGTAAAGACTTGCAGTGTTGGAAACTTTCAAGAGCAGTTCATCTGTCATATGGAGTCAGTATGAGGTAGAATTGACTTGAGTATGGGCGATGCAGTGGGTAAAATTACGCGATCCAGAAAGAAGGAAAAGAGAATAGAATCGAGGACTGGAATTCAGGTGTGCTAGCTTCTCATATGTTGCTGCAGGGTCTGGGCCCTGGGTGTAAAAGTCCCCACCATCTCTGACAGGATTGTAGATGGCATGAGGCTTAATGGGCTGATATGAAGTGACTGGTCACCTTGAGTTCTGCAAACGTATCCTAATTAAAAAAAGAAAATTTTTTAAATGAGATAAAAAATTTTGGATGCAAGATACACTCAGTAAAATGGAAGAGTGAGGATGGCCTAAGGCATACAACGGATAGAGGATAAAATTCATCGCCTAGTTTGAAAAGCAGTCGAAACATTCCTAAAGGTTAGTTACCCCCTTGAAGTGGACTAGAGACCATCTATGAATAAATGGAACTTTTAGCCAATCTTTGAATACTTTTATCTTTCTTTTTTTTTAATCTAATATGTATACACACATATATAGCACTGTTTAATTCAAGTAGTGAGAATGGTGGTTGCTTTTTAAAATAAACTTCAAAATCAATTATTCCAGGTTGGTGTGTTTTGCTTTATATGCACAACCTCCCAGGGAGGTGCCTCAGGCTTACTCTGTGAACCGCAAGATAATCATCCTAGTGCAGTGATTCTCAACCTGTGGGTCGCGACCCCTTTGGGGGGCTTGAACGACCCTTTCACAAGGGTCGCCTATGACCATCGGAAAACGCATATTTCTGGTGGTCTTAGGAACCAAGACACCACCCCTCTCTCAGTCTCCAGGCAGGTCCGCCCACATGCAGATACGCCCACACACGATTACCCAGAGTGAAGACCTGGCCATGCTACAACATGCTTCAGGGCAACATTTAATTTATTTGTAATTAGAAATATTTCACAATAGATAATTACATATTGTTTTCATGATGAATCACTGCTTTCATTATGTTCAAATTGTAACAATGAAAATTTATCCTGCATATCAGATATTTAAATGACGATTCCTAATAGTAGCAAAATGACAGTGATGAAGTAGCAAGGAAAATAATGTTATGGTTGGGGGTCACCACCACGAGGAACTGTATGAAAGGGTCGCGGCATGAGGAAGGTTGAGAACCACTGGATTAGCGGCAATACTTTCTCTGTAAATCCTTTGAAGGAAGTCAGAAAGGTTTTCTACTTAGACTGTACAAAGAAGTATTAAACTAAAGGTACAATAACTGCTTCCCTTTCCTCTAACAAGCCAATTAAAGAGTTTAGATTTAAAAGTCCTTTGGAGTCTCCTTCAAAGGTTTTCTCAATTTGCCCGTCATTCCCATTTTGCTGTATTTCTAAAGATTGTTCTTAGAATGTCTTTCTGTTGTTCAATGACCTATTTCTCCTAGAGCATATATATTTAAAACACTTTCCTCCCATGTATTTTCAGTAGATAAAAGTACTGGCTATAACGTTTCATTCCATTATGATCACAATTTGGTCATTTTCTAGATAAGCTTTATAAATCTAAAATTTTCTAGCTATACTACAATATTTTTTATTTAGATAGTTCTCAGGAGACAGTATGGCTATGTACCTGATATTAATATGAACTTTACGCATAATAAATCAACAAAGATTTTTTGAGTACCTATGATTACAGTCAGGTTCTTGAGTGGCGCAAATGGTTTGTGCTTGATTACTAAAGTTTTTTTAGTCTGAGCTCACCCAGAGGTGCCACGGATGAAAATTTTGGCCATCTGTCTCTGTAAATATGTAGTCTGGTCAAAGGAACGATAGATACATGGTTCAACTGTCATACATGGGGTTGCTATAAGCGGGACATCAATTTGCTGGCATTGAATATGGTATAGGTATGGTTATAGTGGCCAACCATCTTTTCAGAACTCTAAATGAGGTGATTCAGAGTTGTGGCATAGTGGATTACATGTTGGGCTGCAAACTGCAAAGGCTAATGGTTCAAACCTACCAGTCACTTCCATAGAGAAAGAAGAGGCTGCCGGCTCCTATAAAGGCTCACAGTCTTCGAAACCCAAATGGGCAGTTCTACCCTGCCCTGTAGAGTTGCTATGAGTCAGAATGAATTCAATGGCAGTGAATTTGGGTTTTGGTTTAAATAAGGTAAGCTCATGAAGGGTTATTTTCATCTTCATACCACTTGATAATCAGTTCCTAATTAATGCACACATAATGTCCCATACATGATTATGGAATGAAGAACACTCTGACAACAGGAAAAGATACAGCCTTTTACACAGATTCAATGCAGTCATCATGGAGTTGATAAAGTTCTACCAGGGAAGACAGGGATTCAACAAACCATCATACAATTCATTTTGATGGTGCTAGTTCTATAAATATAAAGAGGACCTGATCGCATCAGGGTCAGAGAAGGCTTAAACCAATATCTGAGTAAGACAACCTTAGTGAGGTGAAGCATAAGCTGGGGAAGGCTTACCCTGGATAAATGGAAGTCCCGAAAATGGAAGTAATGGAGTCCAGAATATTTTCTGGCAATGAAAGGAGTGTAGCTGAAGGCTGGCAATCGAAGAGATGGCTCTAGTAAGACCTTGTAAATGACATAAAAGATTGCCTACTAGCTCCCACACAGGGCTAGGCAGTGGGGATTTCAGAATAAGAGGTAATTCCTGCACCCAGGAAACTCAAAGCAGGGTGACTAAAAGATATGAAGATAGGGCATAAATAAGAAATAGTTTGAACTGCACTTTCAAGAGCATGGTTATAAATTTCTCTGTGGCAATAAACACATCTAAGACATTTCCAAATATTTATTCTATGTTTACACTGCTGCACCTACCAACCTGAACATTAGTATATGTTGAGAAGACGTTGGAGAATGTCTGAAGAGCATTTTTAAAATATGGGAACGTCTTCAGAGTAGGAAGCCAACACAAGTACACTGCTGAATAAAGCAAAATAGATTAAGACCCAATTTTTCTGTGATCATGTTATTTTCAAGGATGTGTGTGGACAAATAATGACAACATCCACCCCAAACAAAGCAAAACCAAACCAAAACCCCTCAAGTTTTAACTACATAGAGAATATTCTTAATGCTTTCAGCTCCATTGTCCAGGGCCAGCCTGGGACTTCAGTTCCATTGTCCATTACCTTTTTCGGCAGTGTTCTCAATTTCTCTTTATCAAGCCTTAGCCTTTACAAAACATATAACTACATGTTCGTTGTGATTTAGTGTAGAGAATTAGCTAAGCTGCTTGCTTTCACCATGATTACAAAGAAGGGACAAAATCAATTGTGAACCCGTTTGGAACCTTAAATGTAATTAAGAGGAACAGAGGCTTTGCTGCAAATAAATTTACCTTAGTAACATCTTTGATCTTCAAAAATAGGGTACTTGCTCAACAAGTATTTCTGAAATTAAAAAGAATACAAAGTAGAAAATGGGAATTAAACGTGTCGGGCTGGATTCTTCGAATAACGCCAATATCTTTTAATGACATAATGATTCCATCTAGCAGCACAGAAAGAGTATTATCTTTAATAAAACCTGATACCAATGTTTTCGAAGAACTAGTCGTTCAGTTAAGAGAGCCGGGGCTTTTAATTTGCGAACTGTTCAATTGCCAAAATAAAAATACCTGTTTCCTACCGCAGCCGAAAGCTATCCACTCGCAAGCTCAAGACCCAGGCACTTGAGGTCTCACGCTCAGGAGAAAGGGTGGGCTCTAATAGTCTCGCGAGAAGCTTGCATTGACCAATTTTCGCGAGATTTTGGTCCCTATCGTTACTCTCGCAGGGTCGCATTTAGTCTCGCGATCTTTGGGAAGTTCCGTTGCGGAAGATGGCGGCGGCCGCGAGTACCCTTCTCTTCTTGCCGCCGGGGACTTCAGGCTGAGCCTTCCCAGGAAGACTGGGAAGTCTATTGGTGCCCTGCGTCCCGGGAGTCCGAACCGATTTGGTTCCCCCATTGTGGTGGGAAAGGGCTTCTCCTTTTGTGTGGAAACGCAGGCCTTTCCCACCTCCAGGATGAAGGCTCAGGGGGAAGCAGAGGGTGAGTGAGGAGATGAGAAGAGGGCGGGACACTACTGTGGGGAGCAGGCCTGTGAGAGGGGCTGGAGGTCGGTACCCCGTAGGGGCCACTTTAGAGGGCTCCGAGTCGAGGAGGCGAGATGTGTGTGAGTTTTACACTCTGTCCCCGTTTTCCCCCAGTGAGGGTGCAGTTCCAACTTTGGGGTTAGCTATGGGAGTTCTCAACGAATGTTTACGTTTCCTGCCCTAAAGGGGCAGTCATCTGAACTTGAGGCACCTGCAGCCTAACGTGGTGGGAGACCAGGCAAGTGAATCTAAAACGTTTCTGTCTTGTGCGAGAGGAGACGTCTGAATAGTGACTTCGGTACTGGAGGATTCGTTAGTGTGAGTGAAATGATTAGGGCCATGTATTAAAAGGCAGAAGTTCTCTATAGAGCGTCACAATGTTCCGATTTTGTGCTACTGAGTATTTTTAAAACGCTTTGAACTTCATCTTTCCAGTGCCCGGACCACAACTTCTGAAAAACAATTTTCTGTGTGTCCTTACCCAGCCCCTTTAAAGATCAGTCCTGCAGTTTAAAATGTTTCCTTATTGTCTTGGATATAGTTTTTCTAACACAGCGTCTTGTATTTGTGCTTCCTCTTTTCGCCTCTTTATTCAAAGCTTTGTAGATCAGTGACCCTGTCTTACTCATCTCTGTGTAGCCCACGGCACATAACAGCTGTGCCCCAAAATAGTGATTTGAGCATCCAGGAAAGTTACTTCCGTGCTTTTCAAGGCAAAGAGCTGGTGTAATTTGACCACGGGAAGATGTATTCTTGTGTGCGGTAGAATACAAAGTGTAAAATGGAAACTCCATTAGGCAGATTTTTTTGGCTTAATTTGTTTAACAGCTAAAGTAGTCTTTGAAAGAATGAGATGTGAAATTAGGAATTAGAAAAAAACTGCCCGAGAACCAATTTTCCAGAAGATGAGGCCCTTGGAGAAGAATTTTAATCTTACCGTTTCCCCGAAAGTAAGACATCCCTGGAAAATAAGACCTACTTACAGTTTTGCCTCTCGCTGAAATATAAGGCATCCCCCTGAAATAAGACCTCCCCGAAAATAAGTCCCCGGCCCCCCCACGCTAAGGTGACCAGACACCCGCTTTTGGCGGGACAGTCCCGATTTTTAACAATTTTTCCCGCGTCCTGCATCGTTTTTTAAAAAGTCCCGATGTTTTGAAAGAATGCATGACAAACTAGGGTATATGGTTTTCGGCTGCCATGTGGCTATTTCGCCAGGATATGAGTTTTATCAATGGTGTCCTGCTTTACGAATGTTAAAATCTGGTCACCCTAATGTAAGACCGCAGGGCAGCTGGAGCAGACAGGAAGTGCGAGGTCTCTCTTAATAAAGCAGTGAATGTGTGCCATATTCTTCTTCAAGGAAAAATAAGGCATCCCCTGAAAATAAGACCTAGCGCATCCTTGGCAGCAAAAATTAATATGACACTCTTTATTTTCGGGGAAATGGTATTTTAGTAGATCTTCACATCTTCTCAATTATTTATGTATTGTTAAAATATCTGTAAGAGCCCCCAATAAAATGATTTATTTAATTTTTTTTAAAAAGGATCAGACAGAGGGCAGAGGAGGAGATTCACATGTTTAGTCCAGATGCCAATCTTGTCCATCTTTGTCTTAGCGCTTACTGAAGACTCATTCTCTGGTCACGGGTACATTCCTTTTCCATATGATTTTAGTTTAAATTCAAATTGGAAATAACCGAGTAATAGATATTTTCTTTTTCTGTAATTTTTATTTTGTTGAGAATATAAACAACATAAACCAATTCAACAATTTTCTACATGTGTAGTTCAGTGACGTTATCTTTGAGTTGTGTAACCATTGTCACCCTTTTCTGTTATTCCTTTCCTGTTAACATAAATTTACTGCCCCTACATTGCCTCTCTAGTCTTTTAAGTTGCTGTTGTTAATTTGACACCACATAGCTGAGTCTTAAAAGAGCATAATGCTCAAGAGAGCCTGTTTTCTTGGTAGCACCCATAAATTGCTCTCGCAGTTAACCATAGGAAAACTGTTCAAGCATATGTTTTATATATATATATATATATAAAATCATGAAACAGATTTCATGCAGATCAAGAGATGACATCACTGAATTGTAGGCTCAATCCTGAATATAATCAGAGATGGTCCTTCATTTGGTTCCACTTAAAAGTTTAAGTAGAAAGCAGACTTACTTTATATTACTTAAGTCAGACCCATAAATTGTGTCTCCCTACCATTAAAAAATAGTTTCATATATTGATGTAAATAATACTGGAAAAAATTAATTACATTCTCAGTGAGGTGAGGTATGTTTTCTTTTGAAACCGAAGAATTGAAAGGACTTCATTGAAGATTTTCTAATTATGTTTTCTAATTTATGTCATAGAATCGGAAAAGCTGAATAAGATGAGTTCTCTCTTGGAACGACTCCATGCAAAATTTAACCAAAATAGACCTTGGAGTGAAACCATTAAGCTTGTGCGTCAAGTCATGGTGAGGATTGTTGGTGTGCTTAGATAATACTTCCTCTGGACTTGTTCAAACTGTAGCCAATATAGTGTGTCTTTCAAATTTATTTGTCAGAAAACAACACAAGATAGCTATCAGTATTTATCCACCTGAGGAGGATTATTTTCACCTTGAATATGGAGGAATATTTCAAACAAGAGCGCTAAATGCAGTTATGGGCGTATATGATACATTGGTATAAGGAGATTTTATTAACCTCTCATGATGTTTCATTGTACTGTTAGAGTATTTTTTAGGTATTTGTATTATTAGAAGAGGTTGTGATTAATTCTTAATACAGATGAGCTCTAGGAGGTATATATTATCAGTTTGCATATCCATATAATTTTGTTTTAAGGATCAATGAGATGTATATGAAAATACTGTGTTGCTAAAAGATTTCTATAGCTGAAAATTCTACAGATGCATTTGTATACTCTTAGGCAAGTTTGTATGTGTACAAGGTATTTTATTAAAAATGCCTTGAATAACTGAATGGATAATTTTCTAGTCTAGCAATTTAGAAGTTGTCATTAGGATTCCATGGCAGCCATATTCTAGGTTAAGATACGTTTTATTAATGATGATGTCATAAAAGGCACATCATAATATAGAAGGCTTTTTTTATAGGTGGCTACTCAGGCCCTCTATTGGGGTGCCAGTGTCTTGGGATAACCTTGGTTTTCATTGTCTGCTTAATAGTTGTGTGAGTTCAGAAACCTATGGTATTGGTACTTTGGGCTTTTTGTTTTTGTTTTACTTTGGGCTTTTACAACCTTTTATAACAACAGACATACTAACCAAATCAGGTAAATTAACTAGTAAATCAGAATACTCATTTGTTAATTAGTTAATTAATTTGTGTGTGTTCATTTATAATACTGGGTTTATCATGCTAGTACCAGAATAATGTTAATCCATTCTTTGGAGCATCTTCTTCTTTAATCAAATTATAAGGGAGCACAGATTATTAATTCATGAGATTGTTTTATACCACCATAAACCCTTGTTCACTTTTTTGGCTCCTGGATGTTTTGCAGGGAGGTGCTTTCCTAGATAGGAGTAGAAAACTTGGTTCTTTGGGGGTTTTTTGAGTCCCTCCGTTTTCAAGGAGCCCTGGTAGTATAGTGGGTTCTTTGTTGTGATGCTAACCAGAAGGTCAGCGGATTAAAACCACCAGCTGCTCCTTGGGAGAAAGGTGAGGCTTTCTGCTCCTATAATGATTTCGTCTTGGAAACTCACAGGGACAATTGTACTCTGGCTTGTAGGGTTAACATGTCAGAATCCACTTGATGACAGTAGGTTGGTTTTAGTTTTCATGTTCTATTTCTTCAAAGGATTAATGCAATTGACATAATTTACCTTCAGTCTAGTTTGACTAAGGTTTGGTTCTATTTCTCAGATTATATATATTATCACCTTGTTAGATTTTGGAATATCTAAATCTGAGTCATTCCATTTAAATTTTATGATGCAGTCACTTCTGCTGGAAGCTGATCCCATCTGTTACATTTTGATCTAGTTTTTTCATATATCTTAGATTTGGTAATTCCCTATTCATCCATCGTGATATAGATGGATAGAGTCATGGTTAAGAGTCTGTAGATTATCCTGACACATTATTGGCTTGATTAATTTTTACAAGTATTTTCCCACTTGACACACAGGAGAAAAGGGTTGTGATGAGTTCTGGAGGGCACCAACATTTGGTCAGCTGTTTGGAGACATTACAGAAGGCTCTCAAAGGTTTGTATCACTTTTGAAGTATACGGATTTTTTTTTTAACTTCCAGCTTAAATATTGATTTAAACTTACCTTGGTGTGTTAGTCTGGGTACTGTAGAGAAACAAATCCATAGAACCTCATGTGTAAGAGAGAGTTTTATATAAAGGTTAAATGCGCATCAAGAAAACATCCCAACCCAGTGCTGCCCAAGCCCAGAAGTCCAACATTAACCCCTATGTCCAACACCAGTCCACAAAGTCCTCCTCCATCTTACAAAACAGCAATGATGCTGACTGCAGGAGGAAAGCCGAGTCAGTGAACGTGTAAGCATCTCAGCGCTGGCAGGGGTCTCCACACAGTGCTCACAGGGCTGTATCGGTGTAGGTCCATGTGGCTTCTCTGAGATGTCTTGCAGGAAGTCAGCCTTGCCAGCTGAAGCAGGGAACTGCTAAGGCAACTGCACCCTGGTCCTACCTTCACAAAGCAAGAGAACTTGAAAGGCGAGGCCCACTGAGCCATTTATCTCTCCACCCTTTACTTAACCCCACATGTGTTTATCAGCCAGGTTGGCACAATAAACTAACTCACTTGGAGAGAGAAATTTATTTAGTAGATCAACCTTCTGTGTCTTGTGTTGCTTTTTGCTTTGTGTATGGTGTCAAAACGAGTTATTTCCTTAACTTTTGAAGCATACAAATTTTTTCTTTTAGAAGTCTGTAGAGCCTTAAATATAATTGATAGGGGAATGTCCCCTTCAAATTAACCCTCAGTAAGAAGATGGATGCTTGAATTTAGCTGCATGGTTTTTACAATGTTTACGGACAATGTTTTGGGGAGAGCTAACATAAGGTTTTGAAATCAGCTATTCATGATTATAATTAATAACTTCTATTTATTTGAAGAAATGAAAATATAAACAGGCTTTTCCTTGACCTCCCATAAATAAATCTCTTTCAGCTGTGAATTTATTTTATGACTTCTGTGATAATTAATCTTCATTCTATTATTAGCAGATAAACATGTCTTTTTTAAGGGAACTATAACTTGGCTCAAATATGGGGGATGAAAAAGGGAGAGAAGGAAAATCCAATTAATTTTTCAAATAAATCCTTAATTTGGACACTTATTAATGCCTGCGCCATAATGCAAAAACCAACCAAACAAACCCTTGCTGCTATTGAGTAGGTTCTACGTCATAGCAACTCTATAGGACTGGCCCTGTGAGTTTCTGAAACCATATCCCTTCATGGGAATAGAAAGCCAGGCCCCTTTCTCCTGAGGAGCGGCTGGTGGTTTCAAACTGTTAACCTTGTGTTTAGCAGCCCAACTTTTAACCACTACGTCACCAGGGCTCCTAGGGTACAGCTAAGCCTTACTACTGAACTTTGTGCAGATTACAAGTAGTTGAACGATTGCATATACTCAGTATGTTACTGTATTTCAAGAATATACTAAGTTGGAGAATCCTTTGTGGTTTCCTTTTTCTACCCTTCATAGTAACATCTTTACCAGCAATGACTGACCGTTTGGAGTCTATAGCAAGACAGAATGGGTAAGTTTATCATTAAAACAAAGGTAATTAGCTTGGTGTTGACAGTGGGTGACTTCCCTCATGTATTTTCTGTTTTGTTTGGATTTGTTCCTAGACTGGGCTCTCATCTGAGTGCCAGTGGCACTGAATGTTACATCACATCAGATATGTTCTATGTGGAGGTGCAGTTAGATCCCGCAGGACAGCTTTGTGATGTAAAAGTGGCTCACCACGGAGAGAATCCTGTGGTAGGTGTTACTACTTGACTAGGATCTGGGGGATTTACTTAGGGCCAGTAACTTAAAAGTGAGCTATAGAGGTTTTAAATGGTTTGGGTTTATATTTTTGCACGAGCCACTGTAGAGATGATTTGATGAGCTTACGTCATCAGTATCTATGGAATGGATCTTAGAACTGGGTGGATTCTATCTCTGATACCATCCTAGTGCTTTCTCAAGTGGAGCCCTGGAGGAGCCCCTTTCACTTCATGTCAACAAATAAGAGCCACAGGTTAACAACAGTGCTGAAGACAAGATCATTTGTGGTTCCTGTCTACAAAGCACTCATAATCAAGTAGGACAGATAATCCTAGACATAACTAATTTCTCTTTTTAAAAAAAATCCTGTAAATAGATGAATATAAAATATTATGTAACCAGGCAGTTGATAAAGATTCCAAGGATGGCATTAAAGAGAGGTCCTAAGATTCAACCAGGGTGCATTATAACACTGACAAAACAACACATCGCTCTAGTTACTGAATGCTTCCTCCCCCCCATTACCATGACCCTGTTCTACCTAACAAATCTGACTAGACCAGAGTACACACATTGGTACAGTTAAGGGTAAGGTGACCAGATGTCCCGCTCTTGGCGGGACAGTCCTGATTTTTGACAATTTTTCCCAGCTCCCGCGGTGTTTTTAAAAATTCCCAATTTTTGGAAAGAATGCACGACAAGCTAGGGTATATGGTTTTCGGCTGCCATGTGGCTCTTTTGCCAGGATATGAGTTTTATCAATGGCATCCCGCTTTTGTCCCGCTGTACCAATGTTAAAATCTGGTTACCCTAGGTAGCTTTTGACATGGAATTCAGGACAGAAGATACCCTCAGGAACAGTGGTTGGGAGTAGCGATGTGCTGAGAGTAGGTTGGTGGGGGGCAGGGTGGACCCAACACAAATTTGACTATATAGCCCTCCCCCCAGGGGAACAAATAACAGAAATGTGGGTTAAGGGAGACAATGGACAGTGTGAGACACGAAACAATAATATATAATTGATCAAGGATTCATGAAGATGGGACAGTAGGGGAGGGAGGGGAAAAAAGAGGAGCCTGATACCAGGGACTCAAGTTGGAAGAAAATGTTTTGGAAATGTTGATGGCAACATATGTATAAGTATGCTTAATACAATTGAGTGATAGGTTGTTAGAAGATTTGTAAGAGCCCCCAAATAAATGATTAATAATAAATAAATAAAGAGAGGTCCTAATAATTCAAACAAACTACTGAATGTTCATTCCTTCATAAATTGCATGTTTTCATTTTCAGTTTTACTTTATAAACCTCATACTTCACCAAGGTAGAAGAAGATGCTTTTGATATCTTAGTATAGGGACCTTCAATAGTTTTGATAGTTTTTGGATGTTTTTGTTATGAAGTATGTATTATTACTATTAATAAAAGAGAAAACTAAAAAAAACCCCAAAAATTAAAAAAAATAAAACTGTGGTGCCTTCAAAAGTGTTAGAGTAGGTTAGTATTTCCTTTCATCTACTGTTAATATTTCATCTAGTTTTAATATTTCTTTCAGAGCTGTCCAGAGCTTGTCCAGCAGTTAAGGTGAGCCATGACATTTCTGTTTCTTTATATTCATGGACACTACTTTTCTTTATACCCACTGCCGTCGAGTTGGCTCCTTCTTATAGTGCCCCTACAGGACAGAGGGGAACTGCTCTGTAGGGTCTCCAAGGGTTTCAGTCTTGGTGGAAACAAACTGCCCCATCTTTCTCCTACAAAGCAACTGGTAGGTTTGAGTGCCAACCTTTCAGTTACCCCAACATCTAACCCACTGTGCCCCCAGGGCGCCTGCTTTTCTGTATATCTAGGGTGAAGATGAGAAGTTACATTCCTCAAGAACAACATTTTAAGACTGTACTTGTTTACTTTCAGAATTGATGTACCATGGTTTGGTTTCTTACCCTAAGCAGTTTATCCAGGATTCCTAACTACAGTGCTAGTACTAATGACAGTTTGGATTGGGAATCCTTTGTGGTCAAGGCTTACCCAGTGTGCTGTAAAATGTTTAGGACCATCTTAGCTGCTTCTCTTCACTGGTTGACGTCTCCCGGTTGTGGCCATCAAAAATGTCTCCAGACTTTCTCAACTGGCCCTTGGCGCTTTAGATCTAGCTTTAGAATTGTTGTGTAGAGCAAAGATAAATAGACCCTAACCAGTAAGTCTACACATTAGACTGTTGATACATGTTGGAGGGATAATGATAAGGTCAACTATTTGAACCCACCAGCTGTTCTCCAAGAGAAAAAAGAGGCTTTCTGCTCCCATACAGATTTACAGTCGGGTTGTCATAAGTCAGAATTGACTTAATGGCAGTGGGTTTGGTTTTTTGGGCTTATCATTAAATCATAGATGGGTTAAGAAAACTGAGTCTATACCATGAAAATAATTTTTTCTCCTTTCATTTTGAGAAAAATATTTTACATTAAGGTGTATGTAAGATAAAATCTTATACTGGAAATGCTAGGTTTGAAGAGTTAACTTTCAGTAATGGGTAGCTTTTTCCACTTATCTCTTTAAATTTAAACTCAGGATCAACTTTGTCAAAAGTAGGAAAAGTCAGTGTGTCAATTTTGTGTGGTAGACATAACAGTTCTTAGTTATAGCATAATAATGTCTTAGAAAGGTGAACATTGATCAAAGAAGTTTTACATTCAATCATCTATGATTGTCTTAGCCAAATGCACCAAGTTTGAACCAGCTTAGGGGAGAATACAGTACATCATTAAAAATACCTTTTTAGAATTGTGTTCATTTAATAAGGCTGGTGAACATGAGATGTGAGGGTACTTCTCAAAAGGCAACTATTTTTGGCTCTAAAATACGAAAAGGACCCCTGGTGGCACACTGGCTAATTAGTCAGCTGCTAATTGAAAGGTGGTTGGTTTGCCCCCACCAGCTGCTAGCAAGAGAAAAGGCCTAGGTGACCTCCTGTGAAGATTATAACCCAGGAGAGCCCAGAGGGCATTTCCCCTGTCCCATCAGCTCACTGTGAGTCACGGTCAACTCAACAGCACAGAACAAGAACAGTAAAGTAAGGGCCACAGCTAACATCAATATGTAAGCCTCTTTGTAAGTTGACACTTCAGAAAAAATGTTAAATTGTGCGTGGTTTTTTACTCTATATATTTTGCTCTTTCTTACTCTTCGTGTTTCTATGCGGTGATAGCTCAGTAAATTTTAAAGAATCACTCCGGAGAGAGAATTGTGGAGTTACGTGAGATTGCTAAGTCTGCCCACAAGAGCACCTGTTTGACTAAACACTAGGAGTCCAGTCATGACTATTAGGTCCTGGAAAGTCTGAGGCCAGAGTAAGAGTCTGTGCCCCACCCCCTCTCCCTGACCAGACTTGGTTGTAGGACTATTTTATAATGTATGGAGCTTGTTTGCATAGTGCCCACTCACTTTTCTCCAGATTCTCCGTCTATTTTCTAATGTTCATTTTTTCTGTTCACCTGTCATATACCTGCAAGTATTTTGTCTTCCCAGTTTATTTCCCATTCCCTCTCTTTTAATAAAAAGTTTTATTTCCTCATGATAATCTAATCATACTTACCTATAAGAAGAAAGTAAAATGATTTATTAAAACCAGATATTATTACCAGATGTATGAATTATCAGGTCATTTTTTAATCTCTATATAGCTGATTAACACCTTTTACAGAGTAATGGGGTAGAGAGAGAAAAGTAAAACTTTCATTTTTTTTTTTGTATTTTTGATGAGTTGAGGAAACTTTGGGTGGGGAAAAGATGAAAGGAAATTATTAAAATTAGATTTTTTTATAGCCATGATTTTTAACACTGTGCTATGAGATCTATTGGTAATTACAATTACATGTTATTTTCTTCCCTTTTCGTTGAACTCCTCATAGGGAAAAAAATTTTGATGAATTTTCTAAGCATCTTAAAGGTCTTGTTAATCTCTATAATCTTCCAGGAGACAAGTAAGTATACTTTTTGCTTCTTTGATCCATAAAATTTAGAAGCAGTTCTGTGCTTAAAAATTTCCCATTTTCTGCTTTATCATTCATTGATTTCTTGTTGTACTGATAATCTACAGCTATTTCTGACTTTATATAATTATTTATTTCTGACTTTAAAAGGTACTTTATAATATCTATGTTTGTGGATTATAATAGAAGACGGACAATAATTTTTTAGATGTCTTCAGCATGTTGATTTGTAGGCTGAAAGAAATGTATTCTTGTGAAGTTGGCTTGCCATTTTATGTTAACATATTAGGAATCCTGTTAACTTGCTTGGGTCTTTTAGACACAACTTAGCTTTGATAGATTAGAGTTGGTTTTAAAAAATGTTTTAATTTCCTCCAGAATAGACTCTCCCATGACTTAGGCACGGTGTACCTATTTGTGTACTTGTGTGCACATACTTAACTCTTGTTCTCATCATTTTATTATTCAGCAAACTGAAGACTAAAATGTATTTGGCTCTCCAGTCCTTGGAACAAGATCTATCCAAAATGGCAATTATGTACTGGTAAGACTGACTAAAGCATTGTTTCTATAGAACCTTCATAGGTACCTCCCCCGGGACCCCCTATCTTGGGAATTACTAGCTTTAATTATATCACTATATATCTTGTTCATGTCCTTTTTCTTCTCATTGAAATTGTCTATCATTTCTTGAGTAATAGTACCACCAAGTTACTGGTTGTTATTCCATATGTTTTATTTAAAGATTTGGGGAACCTGATCTCTCATCAAACAAATAATACCCTTGCTGTTAATTTTAGCACCATATTACTTATTGGTGTGTACTTGGAAATAATCCCTTTTCTCGGAAGGTGAAATATGCTTGTTTTATGCTTAATTATAGAAAAAGTTGTTAGGAAGAGCAAGATTTTTTTAGATCTGAACTCAGTATCCAGCTGTGCACTATGTTCAGTGCTTACATAAAGCAAACATAGATCATTTGTCTTGCAGGAAGGCAACCAATGCTAGTCCCTTGGATAAGATTCTTCATGGAAGTGTTGGCTTTCTCACTCCAAGGAGTGGAGGTACATGATCACAGTTTGCTTGCTTAGAAAAATAACTACTTTTAGTTGAAGAGCCATATCTGATAACTTTATATTTTAGTTATAAATATAGCAATGGTAGAAAACTACCAGTTTCCATTCCCACTGACTATTTTATAATGATTTCTAAGGTGAGAACACTGGTTCTTCTTCCCCGGTTGTTTTCTTTTTTTAATTGTGTGAAGGAAATTTTTGGTTCTAGAATTAATATATATTTTTTTATCATATGTTACAACCTGCTTTGGAGCAAGACTACCCATAGCTGTGAAAATAATTTCTTTTATATGAATTTACAATAATGTGGATGTTTTCCATTATTTGTAATTTATTTGGTAAAGGTACATTGGTTAGTTTTATTTTTCATAGGTCATTTAATGAACTTGAAGTACTATGCCTCTCCTTCTGACCTGTTGGATGATAAGACTACATCACCCATTGTTTTACATGAGAATACTGGTAAGACTATAACTGTAAGGAAACCATAGACTTTGTTTTATGTTTAAAAAATACTGTTCTTAAATCAAATTTGTGCTCATACTTCCACATACACAGTTGACCTCATTATTAGTGGATTCCTTTGTGGATTTAGTTACTCAATAAAGTTGATTTGTAATCCCCAATTCGATACCGGTGGCACTTTTGCAATAATTTGCATGTATGCAGTAAGGACAAATATAAATTCAAAGTAAACATTTTTACAGTGAGAGGTTTACGTTCTTCATTTAAAAGGGGAAAGAACTTTGCCAAATTCCATTTCTTAATATTTTCTGTAGAAGGTATATGATTGTTAAACTCTTTCTCTGAATCTTTGAAACCTATGTACTTCTTCTTATGGGCCATATAATGAGCTTGTGAATTTTACAACCAGTAATTTTCTCTCAGGACCCGGAAGCCAAGTCTTTGAAGTGTAGTAAGTGGAGGAAGATCACACCCTAATCTTCTATAATAGAAGTCTTGTATCAGCTGGCATATGACTTCATGTTACAAACCTTCTTTTGGTCAGAAAAGTATGAGAAATCATTTTTCCCCCCTTTGGGTAAAAGTAAATCGCAGACCTATCTCAATTTCTAGGTAAATTTAGGGTGAACCCTCTATAAGGAGTCCAGATGTAACACATGGTTAAATGTTCTGCTACTGGCTGATAGGGCAGTGTTTCGAATCCACCCCAAGTGCACCTTGGGAGATAGGCCTGGTCATCTGCTATTGAAGAATTACAGCCTAAAAACTCAGGGAAGCATTTCTATTCTACACAGGCTTCACTGCTGTCAGAATTCAGTAGTACAACGGTTCTTAACCTGTAGGTCGTGACCTCTTTGGGGGGTCAAACGACCCTTTCATAGGGGTTGCCTGATTCATAACAAAAAATGACAGTTATGAAGTAGCTTGGGGGGTCACCACAACATGAGGAACTATATTAAAGGGTTGCGGCATTAGGAAGGTTGAGAACCACTGCATTAGTGGATAGTTGTGTTAGTGTAGGTAGACTAATCGCTATAAATTCCTCTTCAGACTCACGAAACACATGCAATGACACCGAATGCAGGAAGATGACAGGCCAGTGGGTGGAAAGTCTTGTGGATTCAGTGGTGGTGTAAGCATCTCAGCACTTGCATGGGTCTCCACTTGGTTCCTTCAGCTCCAGGGCTTTAGCATAGCTCCATGTGTCTTGTCATCAGGAATACGAAGCAGAGTTTGTGTGTGTCCCGCCTTCAGCAAGCTATTTATCTCCGTAGCACCTCCAAATTAGGTCATTAAGAGGCAACCTGATTGACAGGCTAAACTCCACCCCTTCACTCTTAATAGTCTTAAATTGGCACCACATTATGTAACTACAATAACCAACAACGTGTGACTGATGGCGCTGTCAAGTCATTTATCATGTAAACTTGAGTCAAATGGGATGTATCTTGGCTTTGAAAGGATAGGATTCTTTTCTGCCTTTTCAATGGTGGAATGACTCATACATCACATTTCGATTTAATGCTTATTAATTTTTTAAAAATTCATTTGTTTCTCTTTGACTTGTGGGAAGTTTATATGGGATAGCAGGAGATTTTAATCATGCTTCTCGAAAAATACAGTGGGACAAATTTTGGGCTCCTTTCTGCATATGTTCTTAGCTGAGGGTGAGCAAAGTGACACTGCCTCTTGTTTTAGCTTTCGTACTGTAAACTAGTGCCCTTTTTGTAGTCCATTCACGTTATTAGGCTTTTTGTGGATGATTTTGATTATACAAATCAATTCCCAAGGATGGTGCTGAAGTGCTGTCTAGTGATTCTAAAAGCAAGAAGACTGTGGTACTCCTTGTAGAGAAAATTCCTGAGGTTAAAAAGCTTTGTTCATTCAGACATGAACTATAGTAATACTGGCTGTAAATTCAGTGTTAATGGTCCTGGGCTAACGTAACAGTAGCAGTTCAGACCCACTCAGCAGCACCAGGGAAGAAAGACATAGCCTCTGTTCCAGTGAAGCTTAAAGACAAGGTGACCCTGTGGAGCAGGTCTGCCCTGTAACATGGGGACCATGAGTTTGAATTGACTCAATGGCAGCCGGTTTGATGTTGGCTTTACATATTAGATAAGATTTCTTTAAGTGGAACACATGTAAAATGAGATGATATATTGATCAGTTGATATATGAGGGCTCTCCAAAGAGTTCATGGAAAATTTGTTATTTTTTCTCTTTTTCCATAAAAATAGTGAAAACTGCACACATACATACACATACAACCAAAAGTTCATAGAAAGTTTATGAAAACATTCGCATAGGCTCGCGGCAAGACGAGGCCTAGGCCTGTGGTCCAGGCTGCAGGAGCCATGTGGCGGGCGAAGACTGTACTGGCAGAAGCGGCCCAGAGCTTTGGTGTCCGCCGCCTCGGTTCCCAGCATCAGCCACGCGGTTCCCAGCTCCAGCCACGCTCTTGGTGTCCCACAGACCAGGCAAGGAGGGGGGTGGGTCCGGTTACAGCGGTGGACAAAGGCAGCCAAGACACTTGTTGCCACCATTCCAGGAGGAGGGCTCCGAGGAATGGCCCCTGGAGCTGGCGCTGCTCTCCCCTCTACCTCCACCAACCCCAGCAACCCTGATAGCCTCTGCTGCCACACTGGACCTGAGGGATCAGAGGGAACTGGGAGCTGTTCCAGAAGCGGCAGTGGCTCACTTGTGAGGGCGCCGCCAAGCTCCTGCTGGACACCTTTGAATACCAGGGCCTGGTGAGACACACCAGCGGTTGCCACTGTGGAACAGTTCTCTTGGAGGTCTGGGCCTTGGCTAACTTGCACATCTTTGACTGCAATAGCAGCATTTCCAAGAAGCAGCAGAATAAACATTTCATTGTCCCAGCTGCTTGCTTCAAGCTCCTAAAGGGAACCGAAAGCATGGCCACATACAGGTTCAACATGCATAAAGCCCAGCACACCTTCTGTAAGAGAAGGGTGGTATCTAGAGTTTTTACACTCCCGGCTCAAACCCTGGAGGCTAGGAATCGCTCCACATTGCCTGGATGAAGGCACTGTGCGGAGCATGGTCATCGAGGAGTTCAATAGCAGTGACTGGGAGAAAGCCATGAAGGAACACAAAACTATCAAGAACATGTCTAAAGAGTGAACAGCATTCTGAGTCTCACTTCCCGAAAAGGGGGAATGACTGGGGCTGGCAACTCCGCCCTCCCTGCTGCACCGCAGAGGCGCTCGTGAAAGTGGCTGACCGAGACTGGCTCTGTGACCAGCAACCGTCTCGATCTCTGCCGTTTGCTCTGGCTCCCAGTTTCTTTAGGCAGCTCTTTGTCCTTCCTTAGCCCAAATTTTGATGTAGCCTACTTGATATCCTCTCTGTATTCTCAACTTTTGTGTGATCTTTTAGAAATAAATATTTTTAACATTAAAAAACAACATAAAACTCAATGATTTTCCTACCAAAGTAAACTCATATTAACTTGTTAAAATATGTAAGAACAACAACTAATTTGAAATACTAACAAAGTTAGATATAAGAGTCCCTGACAGCAATGTGGTTTCAAAAATGAAAGCAAAAACAAGCATCAAATTTATGGTAACACTGGAGTGGGAGAATGGTGAAATCATTGATGCTGTAGGAAAAGTTTATGGGGACAATGCTCCCAAGAAAAGCAGCAATTACCAATGGATAACTTTAAATTTTAAGAAGGGTCAAGACTGTTGAAGATGAAGTGTGCAGTAGTATACCTTCCATATTAATTCACAAGGAAACATCTTCATGCCCTAATGAAAAGGACTGATGATTAACAGCAGAAACAATAGCCAACACCAACATCTCAAATGGTTCAGCTTACACAGTTCTGAATGAAAAAGTTGAATAAAATTTTTTTCCCTGGGAACCAAAATGGTAACTCCCAAATCAGCTGGAGAGTGGTTTTAGGAGAGTTGGGAAATCTAGGCATCCAATTTAACAGTCCTGAGTTTGCCCCTCTGTTTATCCTAATCTTAACCTTTAAAGAACATCCTTTCTCATTGAGTTAGTAATGTAGAAAAGACTGCATAGACATGTTTAAATTCCCAGGACCTTCAGTTCTTCCGGATGAAGTAAATGGCTGGTATCACCATTCGAAAAAGTGTCTTGACAGTGATAGAGCTTATGTTGAGAAATAGTTTATCTTTTAATTCCATTTTTCCATGAACATCTTGAAATCAGCTTGTGTGTGTGTGTGTAAATATGTATATATAATCCATATATATGAGGGGCTTCAAAAAGTTGGTGGAAAAATTCCATTGTCTCTGACTCTTATTTTCCTGTGATTATTTTTTTTTTTATCCCTGAGCTCCCCTATGAATTTTTTAAGGCTCCCTTGATTAATAAAAGTTTAAGAGGTGAGGGAGGAGCTGATGCCAGGGGGCTTAAGTGGAGAGCAAATGTTTTGGGAATGATGAGGGCAATGAATGTACAGATGTGCTTTACACAATTGATGTATGTATGGATTGTGATGAGTTGTAGGAGCTCCTAGAAAATGATTTAAAAAAAAGCATAAGGTGTTTTTAAGTAAATCAATGAATGAAAAGATACAAACCACCTGACATTAATTCATCAGTTTCACTTCATTACTTCAAGTTATTGAAGAATTATAGTAGCAACTTTTTTCCTTAATTTTATCTGCATCTTAATATGCTTAACATGAAATGTCCTAATATTTAATTCTCTCCTATTTTCATTGACTATCTCACAACCTAGTGCCATTGAGTTAATTTCAATTCATAATGGCCCTATAAGACAGAGCAGAGCTACTCCATAGTTTCTGAGGTAGTGATTTTTTTAAAAAATGCATTCTATTGTGGATTAGATGACGGTTTATAGAGCAGATCCTAGTTTCCATTGAACAGTTCATACACATTCTAACAACTCATCCATTGCAGGCCCTCAGTGTGCCTTCACGTAATCCCACTTCCCCCTTTCCTGTTTACATTCTTTCTCCTGTGTTAAGTCCTTGAAATTGGTACTACAGTAAATGATGCCCTTTTAATCGTAAAACATTGATTATTCAAAGATGAAGGTGCATCAGACCCAGACTAGAAAGATGACTGAGACCTATCTTCTTGGGATCCCGCCATTCTCTCTCAAGCTTGGTCTCTTTATGATTTTGAGTTTTTACCACATTTTTCTCCCACTCTATCCAGGACTTCTTAATGTGATCCTTTCAGGGCACCAGTTCTGAGGCTATAAATCTTAATTGAAGTAGGCTTCCCTTTCGTCTGAGAAGCAGTTCGTAGGTTGGAACCACTGACTATTTGGTTCGAAGCCCTGTTTAACCCACTGCACCTAGATGGAGAGAATAGGGAAATATTGTAATGGGGTTTTTAGTTTTCTTTGGTCTCCATTGTTTTCTATGTTTAGATATGCATACTGCTAAAATGAGATATTAGCTGATTAGAAAGGCAATTTTTAGTATTTCTAACAGGTGTTACAGAATCAGATAAATTGTGACTGCAAATTATGTAGAAACTGTCTTGTACTATCTTGCAGTAGATATATATTTTAATGTTGAAAATTCTACAGTATGTGAGAGTTGGAAATATTTTTCTTATTCCCAGTTCCTCGATCTCTGGGCATGAATGCATCAGTGACAATTGAAGGAACATCTGCTATGTACAAACTCCCAATTGCACCGTTAATTATGGGATCCCATCCAGTTGACAACAAATGGTAAGTTAAATACAATTCTAGGGTAGCGTTCTATTATCTTTTAATTCCACTTTTCATTTTTAACTCCAGTAGTAGTGTTTGCATTTGTCCATTTCCCACCACCACCTGCTTGATTTTCTAGAGATTGGCTTTATGTTTAACCATGTAATATTCCTTTGTTCAGCATCTGCGGTTGGAGGTGGTGCTAGCCCCTCACCACTAATCACAGGTTTGATAAACGCAATAGTACGTTTGAATATATAAATATTACATTAAAGTCATCAAGCGTATGAGAGATAGGAGAGGCAAATAATGGAGTCAGACACAATTCATGGTAGCATGCTCACCTCCTGGATGGCCATGATCTTACCAGCCAGGTCCGCGCACAGCTTGGGCCAAGGTGAGGTGGGGTGGAGATCCGGTAGGAGACTCCAGGACCCGTTTATTGCTAACCAATGGTTATATCTACTTAGGAGGGCCGTGATTACAGGTAATCACAGGAAGGGGCAGTACAATAAGCATACACATCATAGGAAGGGGCTGTACAATAGGCACAAGTGTGACAGGAAGGGGATGAGCTAGGGTTGTACATATGATAGGAAGGGGAGGAACTTGAGGTATACATGTGACAAGATGGGCGGACCCTGGATTCATGATGGCGGCCTAACCTTGGTCACCCTTGGGTGGGCTTGACCTCTCTGAAGTCTCCTACAAGGAAATAGACAACTACTATCCTTATCAGAAGGGAGTGGGCCCTACTTGTGGGGAAAACAATGGCAAATGCTTGGTCTAGATGGTTGATAGCCCTTAGGGAGAATAACCCCTGATCTACTTCTGATGACCTCCAATTGTATAGTCATTCCCACGTAGCTAAGTTTGGCATGTATTTGGGGGAGACAGTTTGGGGGAAATCCTTCTGTTTCCCACAAGTATCTATATGAATATCTGTTCTGGACTTTGCTGGTAGAACATATTCCTTGCCTTAGGAAAAAATAAACACAGAAAGCTTTACTAATTCCTCTGTGATTGCCTCCTTTTATTTTGTGGGACTTAACGATGTTGGATTGACACTATTACAGTAGTAATAGCATACGTAATTAAATATTTAAGACTTAATAAATTGAATTATGGGAACAAAGTTCAAAGACTGAGCCTTTGATAGACTTTGTATGTGTATTGTGATGTAAGTCTAAGATGTTTGGGTTTTTCATATGTAGACAAAATCAACCTCCCATCTTATTTTTTAAAGGACTCCCTCCTTTTCCTCAATCACCAGTGCCAATAGTGTTGATCTTCCTGCCTGTTTCTTCTTGAAATTTCCTCAGCCAATTCCAGTATCTAGAGCATTTGTTCAGAAACTTCAGAGCTGCACAGGTAACTTTTAAGGAACAGGAGCTAATACTTGCTTCCTATATTTTGAAAAAGGAAATGTCAAATTAGTATTATCATTGTCCTCAAAGAAGTACTGATATCTATGGATGTCATGATACTTTGTACTCGTAAACACTAAAGTACTTTTTTAATTTTAGCGAAGGAAAAATGTAGCTCAATGTTTTTAATGTGACCATTACCTTATTCTTTGTTTCTCTAGGAATTACATTGTTTGAAGCTCAGCCAACTTATGTACCACTCTATGAATTGATTACTCAGTTTGAGCTATCAAAAGATCCTGACCCCATACCTTTGAATCACAACATGCGATTTTATGCGGTAAGGCCCTTTAGGAGGTGCAAGCAATTAGCACTTGACTCTTCATCAAAAGGTTGGTGTTTCACACCCATGCAGTGGCATCACTGAAGAGAGACCTGGTAATCTGCTTCCACAAGGTTATAGCCAAGAAAATCCCATGAAGCTCAGTTCTATTACTGATGAGGTCATCTGGATCAGACTTGGCTAGTTGACAATGTGGGACAGGAGCTGGGGGCAAACTGTGAAGCTACAGAGTTGGATGTTGTGAGTAGATGGATCCAAGATCAGGCTTTTCCAAGAATCCAAGAATCAGACAGATTCTTGAAGTAATATAATTTTCTTTTGGAATGCTGACTTGTTTGCTCAGTCACACAGGAGATTGCAGAAATATGGTGGAAAATACTGGAGAACGGAGCATGAACACTCAAGCTAGATTTAAATCTATGTTTAAATCTCAGGTGAAAGCTTCTTAATATAATTTTCGTTTTTACACAAGTACAAGTGAGTTTTAAATTTTTCTAGTCTTTTAAGGATCATGAGCTTTAAGCATATATAGAGAAGAAAGTGCTAGAATAAATAAATTGTGGAGAGTTCTTAAACCTCATCCAGGCTTCAGTTGATATGAAGGTTTGAAGAAGGTCTAGACCAGTGTCTCCCAAAGTAGGCAGTGTCATCTCAAGGGACACTGGAGATCTGGGGGTGGGACGGTGGTGCGGTGGGATGTAAAAGTAGAAGCCTATACTTTATCCTGGATTGTGTAGAAAAGATTTCATTGCCAAGGGCCATGGAATAATTATTTTTCTGAAAAGGGGACGATAAGCCAAATAAGTTGAGGAACCAGTAATCTAAAATAATGTACCCAAATTTTAATTGCATTACATTTAAAATAGGGTGTTTATTAAAAACATAATTTTGCCAGTACCATTCAGAGACTCTTACACAGACCTCTCTTAAAATTGTTTTGTTAAATATATGTGACAATTTACATTAAAAAAATAGGTTCCCAGTTAACAATTTCTACACAAATTGTTCATGATACCATTTTTCAAAATGTGTCATCATTGTCCTCTTTGTACCATTTCTAAAACTAGTTTCTCTGTCCCATTATCCTTCTCATCTGCGCTATGGAGTAATTATTGACCTATTGTTCTTATATAGTTGATTTCTTAAAGGCATGCTGTAAGTCATGGGTAATGTTCTTTATTTTGTGACCCTATCTGTTATTAGGTTAAAAAATGACCTCAAGGGGTAATTTTGGTTTAAGAGATGAAGAGTATCTCAGACCATTCATCTGGGGAAAGTCATTTATTCTTAACCGGTTTAGTAAGGGGACATTTTTAAGATTTTGAGTTCTTAAAAAAAAGAATGAATTTGAGTTCTGTTCACATTTTCTTCCATGCTATCAAGTTCCATTTATTGTGGCACTCATCAGAATAGATGATAGTACTAGTCAGGCAGCATCTATTTCTTCTGGTCTCAGAGTTGATGGACCGTGGTTCCTGTAGACCAGCAGTTCTCAACCTGTGGGTCGCCCGATTCATAACTGTAACAAAATTAGTTATGAAGTAGCAACAAAAATAATTTTATGGTTGGGGGGTCACCACAACATGTGGAAATGTATTAAAGGGTCACGGCATTAGGAAGGTTGAGAACCACTTCTGTAGACCATTGTTTCCCATAGTTGTTGACACTATTCCCTAGGGGGTGCCAGAATGATCCTGAGCAGGCGTGGGGTGGGTTGGGGTGGGTACTACAAATGCAGATACTTAGGCTTTTTCCTGGATTATGGACTGTATACTACAAAAGCTCTTAATTGCCTGAGGAGTTGTATATTTTTTTTCTGAAAGGCGGTGGGTAGACAAAATACGTATGGCAAAGTGTTGTGTAGCCAGTGTTATAGACTACCACTACTTTGAGTCTTTGGTTTCCTTCTCTCCTGGATGTGTACAGACCAATAGTTGTATCTTGGAAGGCCATTCACAAGCTTTAAGAATCCCAGACACTACTCACCACTTGAGGATGTAGAACATGTTTTTTTAAACTATTTCATGCCAAGAACTTGGTCGTCTGAATTGAAGAGGTCCATATTTGTACCTATTCCAAAGAAAGGCGACCCAACAGAATGCTCATTTTAGAGAACAATATCATTGATAACACATGCAAGAAAAATTTTGCTAAAGATCATCCAACAATGGTTACACCCTACATTGACAGGGAGCTAAGGTTCAGGCCAGATTCAGAAGAGGATGTGGAACAAGTGATATTATTGCCGTTGTTAGATGGATCTTAGCTCAAAGCAGAGAAAGATGTTTACTGGTGTTCTGTTGACTATGCCAAGGCATTTGACTGGTTTACAACAAAATATGGATAACTTTGGGAAAAAAAACAGGAATTCCATTTGCTCACGTGGAACTTGTGCATGAATCAACACTAGGCATTCAAGGAGAATAAGAGACTGCTACTTGGTTTGCAATCAGAAAAAGTGTGTCAGGGTTGTATTCTCTCACCATATCTACTCAATCTGTATGCTGGCAAATAATCAGAGAAGCTGGATTATGAGAAGAAGAATGTGAGGAAGGCCGTAATTGGAGGAACAACCTGCAATATACAGATGAGACACAACTTTGCTGAAAATGAGAATGTGAGGCACTTGCTGATGAAGATTAAAGATTGCAGCCTAACATGGTCTTGCTTCATCAATGCCTGATGTGCTGTATTAAGATATGTATTATGTCAGAAAACCTGTGACAGACATTCTTGGTGATTATTATTGTAAATTTCCCTGACAGCCCCCTTGTTTGTGTAAATAGCATCCAGCCAGGAATGGACTGCTGCTGTAAAAGTGAATGATTCAGGTACTGTGATAGGGAGTTAGTCTACATTGGCCCAATAGCCCTCTCTGAACCGGGCTTGAGAAAGTTAGTACCAGGGGCTAATCAAAGACAATATCAACTGAAGATCATTAAGCACCAGGGGGATGATCAATAGACTCTCTACCATAAGTTAACATAGAGATTTTGAAAAGGAGCCAAAGGCAGATAACAAACAAACAAAAACATAGATAGAGGAATGAGTTTGGGGCTTGCATTCAATCCTAGCTCCAGCTTAAGAACAATTAATTCTTTCATCATGGCCCTCAAAAAGGGAACACAAAAAAAGAAGGGAACGCAGGATATGGGTGTTACAGCAAAATGTGGCGAAAAATTAGCTGGTGCCCGGCTATCAGATAAAATAGCATCTGGAGTTGTAAAGGCATGTTTCCAAGCAAGCAGCCATCTAAGTGAGATGTCAACTAATTCCACATGGAAGACACCCATCAATCACCGAAGGACTGTATATCATATAATCTGAAGTCAAAGTACGGATTAGTATCAACCTAAATTGTGAGGATCCGTTTTGCAGAAGGCTCTGGGTGACAGTGGGAGCCCAAGATACATTTGTGGAAACTACATAGGAAATAAGCTCCAGTGATCTCCCTCTGTCCATAATTGAGGAATGGGAGGAAATTGGTTACTAAACAGTGCATTGGAAGATGAGTATTGAACAGTTAAAACTGCTGGTCCCTCCGCCCCCCTCCCCTTTGTGATACATGCTGTATGGACATGATCTGGTTTTCAACATTTTCACTATTTTTTGTTTGTTCATATTAGGGTTTATCTCAGGTGTCACTCTTGAAGTTGTGTTTTATGTCTTTCTGTTTTTTGGTATGGATAAGCCAGGATTCATGGACCTATAGGGACCGCAAGTAGAATAAGGGTTTGGAGAGAGAGGAAAGGGGGGAAATGTCATGGAGTCCAGGAAGAAAATAATGTTTAGAAACTGATTGTGGTAGCAATTGTAAAATACTGCTTGATGTCATGGAACTATGGAATGATAGATGTATTAACTCCCAATTATTAATAAAACTAAAAAAAACTATGCTTTAAATAAGATAATAAAAATAAATATGATGGTTTAAGAAAAAAAAGATTGCAGCCTTCAGTATGGATTATAAGTCAATGTAAAGAAGACCCAAATCCTCACAACTGGACTAATAGGTAACATCATGATAAATGGAAAAAAAGTTGAAATTATCACGGATTTTATTTTGCTTGGATCCATTATCAGTACTCATAGAAGCAACAGTCAAGACATGAAAGGATTAATCTGTTACATAAGACCATTTTAGAGTATTGAAAAGTAACAATGTTACTTTGAGGAGTGAGGTGTCCCTGACCCAAGCTATGGTTTTTTCAATTGCTTCATAGCATGTGAAAGTTGAACACTGAATAAGGAAGACTGAAGGAGAATCCATGCATTTGAATTGTGGTGCTGGAGAAAAACATTCAAAGTAAAATGAACTACCAAAAGAGCAAATAAATCTGTCTTGGAAGAAGTATGTCCAGTGCTCCTAAGAGGCAAGAATGGTGAGACTTTCTCACATACTTTGGACATGTTGTCCATAGAGACCAGTCCCTGGAGGAGGACAACATGCTTGGTAAAATAGAGGGGTCAGCAAAAAAGGCCCTCGCCAAGGTGGACTCGCACAGTGGACTCAAGCACAGGAATATTTGGGAGGATGGCGTATGACTGCAGTGTTTCGTTCTGTTGTGCAGAGTGTCATGAGTCAGAACTGACTTGGTGGCACCTAACAACAACATGGCAGTGAGCTGTCCCATGAGACACTAATCATTAACCCTGGAAAACGCAGAGAAACAATGTGCTTGGTTCTATGAAGGGATTTCAAAACATCCATTATCTTTCAATTACATTTCTCCATGAACCCTTTGAAGTCCCCATGTATCTACATGCCCACACATAGCTATATGTACTTTTGCCTATGTACATATTTGTGTAAGCACATACCTATTTTTATATTGTGTTGTTTTTTTTCATGCACAGATATCGGGGGTAATTTTTAAGATAGCTTTAGAAACAGCAGAAAGCATTGTTTAAAAGGTGTCTGTCTATTTAGCTAAATGAGTAATTGGCATTTGTAATATCAGTTGACCGAATAATTCACTGTGGGGTTATATTATTCACTGGGAGCTTGCGGCTTATTTTTTTGAGGTGAAAGTTTTTTTGAGGATGTTACTTGTGGCTGGTGTGGAATGGGTAATTAACTAACATTCTTTTCCTTTCTTCTTGTTTTGTCCAGGCTCTTCCAGGCCAGCAGCATTGCTATTTCCTCAACAAGGATGCTCCTCTTCCAGATGGCCGAAGTCTACAAGGAACCCTTGTTAGCAAAATCACTTTTCAGCACCCTGGCCGGGTTCCCCTTATCCTAAATCTAATCAGACACCAAGTGGCCTATAATACCCTAATTGGAAGCTGTGTCAAAAGGACTATTCTGAAAGAAGGTACTGTCTTGCTTTTTGATCTATTAACTGACAGATGGAGACCAACTGCTAGAGTGGTTCTCTAATTTGGTGACTCATCAAAACTACCTGGAGAGCTTTTTTAACAATACATCAGCAGTTCTTAACCTGTGGGTTGTGACCCCTTTGGTGGTCAAACGACCCTTTCACTGGGGTGGCCCGATTCATAACAGTAGCAAAACTACAGTTATGAAGTAGCAACGAAAATAATTTTATGGTTGGGGGTTCACCACAACATGAGAAACTGTAGTAAAGAGTGGTGGCATTAGGAAGGTTGAAAACCACTGATCTAGATGCTTGGTTCCCACACCCAGATGGGATGGATTATAATTTCAGTGGGAGGTAGGTTGGAAATCCAGTTTCATCACCACAGATAATGTTGAGAAAAACCACCAGTAGAGGAGCATTTGGGATCCACTATGTTGATGTAGAGGAGGCCTGTTGGCTTAGTTGTTGTGCATTGGGCTGCTACCTGAAAAGATCAGCAGTTTGAAACCATTAGTGCTCCTTGGAAGAATGGGGCTTTGAAGCCACAGGGATAGTTCCAATTGGCCTATAGGACTGCTAGGAGTTGGAATTGACTCAGTGGCATTGAGCTTAGTTTTCAATTTGGTTTTATTGTGATGAGCATACGTATTTTTGTGCACATAATAATCTTAAGACTTATACATGGCAGTATGTACATAGGTAAAAGAGGATTGCCATTGTGACAGATTTCTTGATAATCGAAAGTTTTGGTTGTTAAAACAGTGCTCCCCAATTTTAGTCCTTTCTCCATTCTTTAGAGAACTTTAATTATATAACTTCAAACAAGTGAACCTTGTTATCCCCACCCCATCTTGAAATGTTGACTTTTTTTTTTTTAACATAGCTGGCCATTAGAAGATTTGATGTGAAATTTTTTTTTTGGAGGTGAATTTTCACTGCTCCAGCTAACCAGTTAATTTTCCACCTAGTTATAAAATACCTACGCAATAGATATGTATCAGGGCAAATGGGTAGGCTAGCATAAACAGGAAATGTGAATCAAGATCCCCTTCTTGAGACTGAGTGGCTTTAGAAATGAGAAACTTTTGAGAGTTGGCATAATGACATAAAACATATACAGGCATCTTTGTGGCCTGGCTATTTCATGTGCTTGCAACCTAGACACATTTTCTAAATAGTCTCATGATATTAAAAATAAGTTTTCACAACTTATTATATAGCTAAGTCCTACAGAGACAGCATGCAGAAGTAGTCTCTGAACTGCCAGAACAATTTGATTTAGTAACCTATAGTGACAGTTCTATTATTTTGCCTAAATGTCATTTGATATATTTATTATTATTGTGTCATTTTAGATTATAACCTCTACATCCCTCCTTGTCAAACTTTAGGTTACATAGTGAACTGCTGCAAACACTGATAGAAGACTAAGTTGATGGCAGTGTGTTGGATCTGTGTTCATCAATTAGAATGAGAAACTGCTGCTGCTCACTTTTACTTTCAGGATTCACTGTCAAGACAGCTAGCCAACCAATTATAATGGAGTTGGTCCCTACTCATAGCAACGTGTTATAGGCAGAGTAGAACTAAGGATTTCTGAGACTAAATTTTGACAGGAGCTGATGGACTTAGCCTTTGACTGAGGAGCAGTTGCTGGGCTTGAACCATAGACCTTGCAGTTAGAGGGGCCCAGTGCATAACTCAATGTCTTCTGGGGACCGTTAGGTTGTAGCTTCTATATCCCTTCTTATCAAGCTATGAGCTGCAAACAAAGATAAAAGTAGAATTTATGGCTGTTTCCTGGATCTGCATTCATCAAATAGAACGAGAAACTGCTTGGTCACTTTTATTTTCAGAATTCACTTTCAGGTCCATATTTACGTCTGCAAGTGTAGTTTGCATTTTAGGGGTTAAACTTTTCATTTTAGAGAGTTGGAAATTTAGTTACTTCCTGTTATTGAGAAATTTATACCATAAGCCTGCAAGCTCCTTAGAATGTGTGTGATTACTTTTCTCACACCTCTGTGGATGACAGAAGATTTTGAATGAAAGGGTTTTTGTTGAACTCTATAAGGCATTGATTGTTTGATGATCCTTTTGTCTTCTAGATTCTCCTGGACTCCTCCAATTTGAGGTGTGTCCTCTCTCAGAGTCCCGTTTCAGTGTGTCTTTTCAACACCCTGTGAATGACTCCCTGGTGTGTGGTGAGTTGTATGGGTGGCAATCACCATGGTCATGGGAACAATTTGATCTTTGTATCTTTTTCAAATGTCAGAAATTGCATTCAGTATTAATTTGTCTTTCAGTGGTAATGGATGTACAGGATGCAACACACGTGAGCTGTAAGCTCTACAAGGGGCTGTCAGACGCGCTCATCTGCACAGATGACTTCATTGCCAAAGTCGTTCAGAGGTAGCACAGTGCCCTACTTATTTACTTATTGTTGTTAAGGTCACTAAGAGTAATACGGTTAAGTTAGGTGGTTTTTTTTAATGTGACATTTAAGGTACTTTTAGGAAGAGTGAAAAAAAGTGTAGCACGTTTTTCACCCATACTTTATGCCACTTTTTAAATTGTAAAATGATATTGAGTAAGATATTTAAGCCAGTTGCCTTCCATGAAATAGTACTTTGTACTGCGGAGATTTTTTCTACAGCGGGACCAGCCGCTTCTCTTTATAAATACTTTGTTGGAACACTCCTCTTCATTTGCTCACTGTGTATGGCTACTTTATAAGGTGGCAGATTTGAGTAGTTGTGACAGAAACCATATGACCCACAAAGCCTAAAATATTTCAGACCTTAAGAAAACAGTTTCTGATATCTTAGATTTACTAGAGCAGAATATTTTGAACAAATATTTAGACATTTGTCTAAAATCAAATGCTTTACCTTTAAATGAAATTTTGAACTACCAGTAACACTTCTTAAACCATTAAAGATTAGAACTTGATGTGTCAAGAGACTTTCCGATTTAAAGTAAATCATCTTTCCATTAATTAACAAGTGAAACCTCAAAAAGCAGGCTTTTTTGCCTTCACTTGAGTTTTGTTATTACCAGGGTTTTGTTCTTTGCTTTTTTTCCCCTCTGGTGTGACATTAAATTGTTTGGCTTTGTTTTTGGTGAGTATTTCATAATACAGGTCATGATTCCTGACAGGGTCAATTTTTTTTTTTTTTAAGAATAACCTGAAGTTCTGCATTTGATAATACTGCTCTAGCTTTTCAATTTACTGGCATCACCTGAAAACTGCTTACAGAAAAACTTCTTGATGGCTTATCAAAATCTCAAACATCAGAGCCTATTTTACCAAATTAAAAAATTGGTCTCAGTAGTGGTGTAGTGTTCATTTTACATTTCCTGTATTATCTTCCAGATGTATGTCCATCCCAGTGACGATGAGGGCTATTCGGAGGAAAGCTGAAACCATTCAGGCCGACACCCCAGCCCTGTCCCTCATTGCAGAGACAGTTGAAGACATGGTGAAAAAGAACCTGCCCCCGGCTAGCAGCCCAGGGTATGGCATGACCACAGGCAACAACCCAATGAGTGGTACCACTACACCAACCAACACCTTTCCGGGGGGTCCCATTACCACCTTGTTTAATATGAGCATGAGCATCAAAGATCGGCATGAGTCGGTGGGCCATGGGGAGGACTTCAGCAAGGTTTCTCAGAACCCAATTCTTACCAGTTTGTTGCAAATCACAGGAAACGGGGGGTCTACCATTGGCTCCAGTCCGACCCCTCCTCATCATACACCGCCACCCGTCTCCTCGATGGCCGGCAACACCAAGAACCACCCGATGCTCATGAACCTTCTAAAAGATAATCCTGCCCAGGATTTCTCAACCCTTTATGGAAGCAGCCCTTTAGAAAGGCAGAACTCCTCTTCTGGCTCACCCCGGATGGAAATGTGTTCTGGGAGCAACAAGACAAAGAAGAAAAAGTCCTCAAGATTACCGCCTGACAAACCCAAGCACCAGACTGAAGATGAATTTCACAGGGAGCTATTTTCGATGGATGTTGACTCTCAGAACCCTATTTTTGATGTCAACATGTCAGCTGACACGTTGGATACTCCCCATATCACTCCAGCTCCAAGCCAGTGTAGCACTCCCCCAACAACTTATTCACAACCAATACCTCATCCTCAGCCCAGTATTCAAAGGATGGTCCGTCTATCCAGTTCAGACAGCATTGGCCCAGATGTAACTGATATCCTTTCAGACATTGCGGAAGAAGCTTCTAAGCTTCCCAGCACTAGTGATGATTGTCCAACCATTGGCACCCCTGTTCGAGATTCCTCAAGCTCTGGGCATTCTCAGAGTGCCCTCTTTGACCCTGATGTCTTTCAAACCAATAATAATGAAAATCCATATACTGATCCAGCTGACCTTATTGCAGATGCTACTGGCAGCCCCAGTAGTGACTCTCCTACCAATCATTTTTTTCCTGATGGAGTAGATTTCAATCCTGATTTATTGAACAGCCAGAGCCAAAGTGGTTTTGGAGAAGAATACTTTGATGAAAGCAGCCAAAGTGGGGATAATGATGATTTCAAAGGCTTTACATCCCAGACATTAAATACTTTAGGGGTGCCAATCCTTGGAGGTGATAATGGAGAGACCAAGTTTAAAGGCAATAGCCAAGCTGACGGTGTTGATTTCAGTATTATAACAGTGGCTGGCAAGCCTTTGGGTCCTACAGATATTATGGAGCATCACAGTGGTAGTCAGAGTCCCTTATTAAGTACTGGGGACTTGGGAAAAGAAAAAATTCAAAAGAGGGTTAAGGAAGGCAATGGTACTAGTAATATTAGTCTGTCAGGGCCAGGGTTAGACAGTAAACCAGGGAAACGCAGTCGGACCCCGTCTAATGATGGCAAGAGCAAAGATAAGCCTCCAAAGCGAAAGAAAGCAGACACGGAGGGGAAGTCTCCATCTCACTGTGCTAACCGACCTTTTACCCCACCTACCAGTACAGGGGGCTCCAAATCTCCAGGCAGTTCAGGGAGATCTCAGACTCCCCCAGGAGTTGCTACACCACCCATTCCCAAAATCACTATTCAGATTCCCAAGGGGACAGTGATGGTGGGCAAGCCCTCATCTCACAGCCAGTACACCAGCAGTGGTTCTGTGTCTTCCTCTGGCAGTAAAAGCCATCACAGCCATTCTTCTTCCTCTTCGTCTTCTGCTTCCACCTCAGGCAAAATGAAAAGCAGTAAGTCAGAAGGTTCATCAAGTTCCAAATTAAGTAGCAGTATGTACTCTAGCCAAGGGTCTTCTGGGTCTAGCCAGTCTAAGAGCTCATCCCAGTCTGGCGGGAAGCCAGGCTCTTCTCCCATTACCAAGCATGGTCTGAGCAGTGGCTGCAGCAGCACCAAGATGAAACCTCAAGGGAAGCCATCATCACTTATGAACCCTACTCTAAGTAAGCCAAACATATCCCCTTCTCATTCAAGGCCACCTGGACCCTCTGACAAGCTTGCCTCTCCAATGAAGCCTGTTCCAGGGACGCCCCCATCTTCTAAAGCCAAGTCTCCTATCAGTTCAGGTTCTGGTGGCTCTCATATATCTGGAACTAGTTCAAGTTCTAGCATAAAATCATCTTCAGGGTTAGGATCCTCAGGCTCATTGTCCCAGAAAACCCCTCCATCATCCAATTCTTGTACAACATCTTCCTTTTCTTCAAGTGGCTCTTCCATGTCATCCTCTCAGAACCAGCATGGTAGTTCCAAAGGGAAATCTCCCAGCAGGAATAAGAAGCCGTCCTTAACGGCAGTGATAGATAAACTGAAGCATGGAGTTGTCACCAGTGGCCCTGGGGGTGAGGACCAAGTGGACGGCCAGATGGGAGTGAGCACAAACTCATCTAGCCATTCCACGTCCTCCAAACAGAACATGTCAGGAGACTTCCAGGGGAAACGTGAGAAAAGTGATAAAGATAGATCAAAGGTTTCTACTTCGGGGGGGTCAGGGGATTCTTCCAAGAAGACTTCAGAATCAAAAAATGTGGGGAGCACTGGTGTGGCAAAGATTATCATCAGCAAGCATGATGGAGGATCCCCCAGTATTAAAGCCAAAGTGACTTTGCAGAAACCTGGGGAAAGTAGTGGAGAAGGGCTCAGATCTCAGATGGCCTCTTCTAAAAACTATGGCTCTCCACTCATTAGTGGGTCCACTCCAAAGCATGAGCGTGGTTCTCCTAGCCATAGTAAGTCACCAGCATATACCCCCCAGAATCTGGACAGTGAAAGCGAGTCGGGCTCCTCCATCGCAGAAAAGTCGTATCAGAACAGCCCCATCTCAGATGATGGCATCCGACCACTTCCGGACTACAGCACAGAGAAACATAAGAAGCACAAAAAGGAAAAGAAGAAAGTCAAAGACAAAGATAGGGACCGGGAACGAGACAAAGACAGAGATAAGAAAAAATCTCATAGCATGAAGCCAGAGAATTGGTCTAAATCGCCTATCTCTTCAGACCAATCCTTGTCTATGACCAGTAACACGATCTTGTCTGCAGACAGACCCTCAAGGCTTAGCCCTGATTTTATGATTGGAGAGGAAGATGATGATCTTATGGATGTGGCTCTAATTGGCAATTAAGAACTTTTCTTTCTAAAAAAACATGACCAGGCAAACCTAATGTTGTGGGAAAAACCCACCATAAGGGGTGAGTCAGATCTGATTTTTGTTTTAAAATCTTAAGTGGCTTGGCTCTGACACTGAGCTGGTTGAATTTAGAGAGGCATAGCCAAACCTTAAAAAGACCATGGGGTTTGGTTCTGGTTCCTTTTACTTTGCCACAAAGAAAAAAATACTTGCTTAGGAAAAGGGGGGTGGGCTGGGCAGAGTTAAGGGGTAAGGAAGGGTGGGAAACTTTTGTGGGAGATATTCATATATATTTTTTCTCCCCCTTTCCATTTTTAGGCCATGTTTTAAACTCATTTTAGTGCATGTATTTGAAGGGCTGGGCAGGACATGAAGAAGCAATACATTCCTTGATGCATTTGCATGGAGGTGGTTCACCTTTGTTTGGGTAGTTGCCCATTTGAAGCATGGGCAAATGAAGGACTTTGGTCATTTTGGACACATAAGTAATGTTTGGTGTCTGTTAGGAGTGATTGAGGGTGTTTTAGCTATTTATTTGTAATATTTTAATCCTTATCTGTTTGTTTTTATACAGTGTTTTTAATTCTATGAGGTTCAGGGTTCAAAATGCAAAATGGGAGACAAGAGCAAGGCTTATTTGGTGATTTGGGGCTTGTAGGTTGTGATGCTATAGCATCGAGCCCAAGTCTGTAGTCAGAACCCACCTTTAGAGTTAAGTAGAAAAACCCAAATGATATTGTTTTATTTTTTGGAGGTTTTTCATAGGGTTCAGACATCATAGGAATAGGAGCTACCTCCTAGTGGAGGTATTAATTTATACTCTTTCTCTTAAAAAAATCTGGGCTGGCTTTTTAGGATGAAACCATATTTTCAGATGAAGCAATGTTTAATGTGGAACAGCCTCCCCAAGCCAGTGGCATGAAAACCATTACAGAATTAATAGTTCTTCTAGTCCCACAATGTGCCAAAATCCAAATCCCAGCATTTGGTTTGTAGAAGTGATGCCATTCCCGAGAGCTGGGCTCCTTGTTTATCTTCCTTGGAAGTTGGAGGAGTTCAAACTTTAAACACTCCACTCTATACACCCTGAAATAAAACAGTTAAAATTTGCAGCCATAGTTCACTTAAAACAATTTCAATCTCACTTGAAGAAGTGGGGACCTGGAATGCTAGGTGGGCATGAAGAAAAAACCTTGCTACTGTGTAGCAATACATTTGGACCTTTTTTGAAGAAATGGGTCTGAGTCTGGATTCTGGGGGACATCATTAAAAAGCCCTTTAAATAAAATATCAAAATCCAGGAGACCGTTTGAGTGCAACACAAGTTCTCAGTATTTGGAGGGTCCTCTCAAAATTCCGCGGCCTTACTTTGATTTTGACACCTGCACTGTGCCATTCCTGATAATTCCATTCAGGATCTGTATCAGCAGGATGGGGCATGGTCCCCAGCACAACTCTTCTGGATTAAATAAATGGGAAAAAACAAACAAAAAAAAGCCAGGTGATTCTTTTTTTCTATTTGTGTCGTAAGTGGAGTGAAGTCATCAGACGTGGAAGATGATTTCTAAATTCAGCTTTCTGCGGGCTGGAGTTAGCATAAAGTTGGAAAATCAGCTTTGGCTTTCTGTCCTGGACTGTCTGACTTCCTCTAGTGTTCTCCCTTTCCTCGTCATCAGCTCTCAAAAACTGCCACTTTTGTGTCCCAAGGTAATAAGAACTAGGAAACGAAGTATTGCAAAGTGGAGCAAGAAAAGTTATCAGTTACCGTATCAGAGTCAAATGTCTTGGGTGACACTAAGGAGGACACGGGCAAAGTGATACCAGAGTGCTTTATCTTGTGATGCTGATACAGTAGCAGCCTCTCAGACACACAACAGGTTGGATTTCTCACAAGTTTGTCACCTAGTTTTGAATCCTATCCCATTGGTTTCTGCAGGAAAAAAAAAAGTTAACAGTTTTTTTAACTTTGTGCTGGGTGGGGAAGATCTTAATGGGGAATGTACTGCATAGTATCAGAGGCTCAGCTCCCCCAAGCAGAGCCAACAAATTCCAAAATGAGTAAACTGGGAAGCTTTTTCTCTCTTTCTGTCTTCATCCCAGATCAAAGAATCCCGAGTTAGGATCTGGATGAAGGATAAGCCCCTGAATTGTCGATGGGCACACCCCACACACTGACCCAGCATCTGAACTTGCTTAACAGGGAGCCGGGGCTAAACTGCTTCACCCTGCCTGAGAACCAGGGAGCACTGCATTTCTCCACAGGGTGGAGGAGAAGAGGCAGCATAAACCAAGCCTGGGACACCTCCCTCCCGTCTAGGTGCACTCATTCTCCTGTTGCAAAAGACGGCAAGGAAGCGAAGCCAACTGCTACCAGTCTGCTGCTGCTGGAGTCTTACGTATTCTTAGTTTGACCCGATCCCTCTTCTGTCTCTTAGATTCCTGTTAGATAACCTGCTCTGATGTACATGGAGATTTCAGGTTCAAAATCATTGTGTTTCACAAGTATTTTAATGACAAAATATGAAGCAGGTGATCACTTGCCAAAATGAGGCTTGATATTGGTGACTCTTGAAAGGATTTTCCTTCCTTAAGGCCTAGGCCTGAAGTTTTATTACAGCAATATGAATTCTCGAGAGAAACCCTTTCAGGGAGCCAGTGAGTCATGCAGTACCCCCAGATGAGTCACTTAATCATAGCATGTGCTACTATAGGAAATAGATTCACAGTCCCTGGGTACTCCCCCCTTTTTTTCCCCTTCTCTTCCCCCATTCTCCCTCTCTTCTACCCTTGAATTTTTAGAAGGGTAGGGGATGTGTAACATTTCAAAAGCTAGGTTGGTAAACATGTTCAAGTGAGCTTTAAAATTTGAGTTTCAAATGTACATCAGGAGCAGATGGGGAGGGCCTTTTCTAAAAAATCAAATTGGATTTTCTGTGTGTATGGTCATTCTGTAAATACTTTTGGGGTTTTTCATTTTTTTTGAAAGACAAAATCCTGTTTTGTGGGATTTTCCCCCCCAAAACATTGCAAATTAACTTATTTACATTCAAATAAATTTCTTTGATAAAAAGTAACATGCCTATGTGTGATATATACTTAACCTATGAATAACTTTTACTTGCTTCCACAGCTACTGGTCTGCAGCTGTTTTTCTGCTATTTCCTGTGGCATTCTGTGGGAAAGAAAGTGTTACCCAATGTAACATCCCTCTTTCCCAGCAAAATGGAAAGTTGGGCATATGTGTGTGACAGACACAGAAAACAAAAAAAACGTTTTACTTGCGATTCACCTTTTTAGAAATTCAGTAAAAAGCCTTTCTTAAGTAGCAATGGAAATCAATCAGCCCTAGTATTTGGAATAGACAATTAAAAGGCATGAGAAACATATTTCTCTGGTTGTGCCAGTCCTAACTTTCCTTAGTCATTAGTCACCAAATTCTTAGTGGTTCTTCATGGGGGGGAAAAAGTTAGTTGATGTAACTGAATTGGAAGGCTGTTCTTACTGTCTCAAGTGAACCTGTAACATTAAAAGTATTGGGACAGGAGAATGTTATCTCTGCTGTTGGGTACTGTGAAACCATCCAGACTCAGCCACTCAATGTACAGCAGAATGAAACTGCCTGATCTTTACATCCTCACAGTCACTCTGTCCATCTCACTGAGGATCTTCCTCTTTTTTCATGAACTCTACCAAGCAAGATGTCCTTTCTCAGGGCTTGAGAATGAGTTTATGAGGCTATTGTTCTTAAGATGCCCATGCTAGGATTGATTTTAAAAAAAAGGTTTCTGATGCTAAGGAGTTGGGTAAGAATACATCAGTGAAAATAAAGCTATTCTCAGCTCTTCAGTGCTGGTTGCGCTTAATTATTTCAACAGACATAAGTCAGTCAGCGCTAATTAAAAAGGGTGTGAAGACTACTGCTTTGGTAGCATACAATTAAGTGCAGTAGTACTCCCAAGACTTCTGGAATTTATGGCAGTTTTTATTACTTCATCTTTGGGATAGCATTTTGTAGTTTGCTACTGTTTGGAGGGCAAGCCCCCATCAGACTGTTTACTAATTTGTGGAGCTTCGATCATAAATTCTGACTATGTTGGCCTGAGCCGCTCAATATGAGAGGCTGGCTATCTTCTACAGACAAAGCCAAGAAGGCTGTGTACGTCGGTTTCCGCTCAGGAAACGCCCCCGCCTACTCTCCAGGACACGCTTGTTTCTCCCGCCAAAGTGGCGTCAAGATCAGGTCCTCATCAAACACCGTCGTGATTGGAGGACGGGCAGGCACTGCAACCCATTGGGTGCAAGCGGCGGCAGAGGGGCGGTGGGAGCTAAAGGCTGCCCCTAATGTTATGCCCGCCCCCCCTCCGCCCCGCTAACGCGCGCCCCTCCCCCAGAAAACAAGAATGGCTCCCCCGCTCCAGCACGGCAGCCTCTGACCCCAAGACTCAAGGTGCGGCCTCTGACGTGTCTGGATCGGGACGGGGCGCAGGCCGGCCCTCCGGAGCAGTGCACCAGGAGAGACGCCCCGCAGCGGCCCCCGAGGCCTCGGCGCAGCAGCACCCCGTAATGCAACCCACGGGGGCGGGGGAGGCGGCACCGGCAGCACCAGCGGCACTTCCCCCAACCCGGAGACGTCCAGAAAGAGGAGGAACATGGCTCCGAGCAGGGACCGCCTGCTGCACTTTGGGTTCAAGGCGACAGTGAGTGCGCGGGGCAGAGAGCTGGGAGGCTGGGCCGGACGTCTGTGCTAGCACCAGGGAAGATTCCGGAGGGGGGACTGGATAGACAGAAAGCGCAGGCCCTCTGCGGGCTGGTGCGCGCTTGGGGAGCAGCGGGGGGCGTGGGACAGCAGAGGGGGCTCCTGGCTCACCCGCCGCGGAGCACGCGCGCACTTAGACACCCCTATACGCAGCCCAC